ACGCGCGGAGAGACAACGCCGGCGCCGAGAAACAAAACACTAGTGAGGCAGGCAAGACAACCTTCATTCAGCAAGGTAAGTCACGGTTTGCACTATGCCAATTGGGATGGTCGTGCTGTTTCCGGTGTATATGCCTACCAAAACTCACGTCTCAAGAATAATTGCGCTGCACCAACTAAAGTATTATATATTGTGTAACTTGGGCAGAAACGAGACGCATGTCGGTCTTTAAGGATGATTTCCTACGTTATTGAGGAGGGTGCGCCAAGACTTGTTGCCTTTGTGGAACCTCGGCGCACCCAAAGACACTTCGTCAATTTAACTCACGAGACTCCTCTCTCGCCCTCATTCTCAAAGTTGCCGGGGCTAACATGATTCATGTTATAAATAGATCTCCATCGCAGATTGAAAATCTAGATTATCGGAATTCATATGAGCTTTGGATGAATCCGGTGAGATGCATAATGAGCTCTCCGATATTAATACCACGGTTTTGTCGGTACCAGCGACTCATCCGGTCTGCCCGGGAACAGCTCTGAGCATTACTTAATCAGTTGCGTCTCCAAACTAATGAAAACCACGGTGTCTATGTAGGCAAAGCTATAGGACGTTGCAGGAGCCAAGCCTTCATCTATCCCAGCAACCCAGTAAAGCTGTTCTTGGGAGGTCGATGATATCCGGCTTAATGCCGCGCAACCCATAAAAAGCGACTCGACTCCAAGAGAGCCAATCACCAGCCCTGGGGAGTTAGCGATCGCAAATCCGAAAGGTTCTCTTGCTAACCGGAACACACTCGATGGCATCTCCAGAGCAGCTGAGAAGCCTGGATCAGCCGCAAGACGGGTTGTCGAGGGCATCGTATCCTACCTACATGTCGTTACGAGCTCATGATGCTCCCAGGTTCCGTATTCCCGCTTTGGGAATATGCTATTATATCCCGGCCTTAACAACATATAGAGACTAGAGCACTAAGGTAAAAGTCATAATAATAATGCCCGAGGCGGGGTAGCTTGACGTCGACACAAAAAAAGGACAGGGCCAGGTAGAGAGGGCTGGTCGAGGGTGCAGCATTGACAACGTCTGTCACAAATGACGATGATACCACCTCTTCGGGGGATGCAGGAATCCTCGTCATCTGACGGAAAGAAAAGGGAAGGGAACTAATTGATGAGGAGACCAGACTCACCACACTACCTAGCATGCATGCAAACTGCGATGAAGTCATATTCCTTACCTTTCGATGCGGCCAGATACTTAGCACACTTGATCTCTCTGCTTCCATGCTTTATCTGATGTTCTCGCTCGCGCCACATTATGGATACGCCGGCAATCCATGTCCTAAAGCGCAATTTATAGACGGCCCTTGGGGAAGCCGGTGGCTTACAGATGCGCGGGCTTGCATAGCTTCCTGTCATGGGACCCGATGCTAGGTTTACGAGCTTCAGTTCTTAGACAAGATCTGTCGTCACCCTAGCACGACGGTAGCGCCGATCATAAACCACGTAGAGGGTTTGTATAGAGTCTATGAGCAATTCTTCTAGCTGTGTTGTGCAAAGGGGAAGTAGTAGGCATTAGGGAACCAGGGCCTCGCTTCCGGATCGAGCGACATGCATCCTCCAACACAGTCTTATGGCTGCAAGCAGGTGGGTGAACCCGACAAGCCGACTTCTTAATAATGACTATAGGAGGTAGGCCTGTCGCTCAATTGCCAGGGTATAACCGTTCTTCCAACCAAGCATTTGGTTCCTGACAAGAGGGCTGGCAAGTAAAGAACATCAGCGCTAGGAACAGCGGGACGTTCCTCTTTCCTGCAACTACAGCCGGCCGAGACCTAATACGCACACATATTCGCACATGCTGCTCACGAACTTGCACGCGTTAGCCGAATAACTGCCCGGTATACTTAGCTGCAGATGGGCGAGCTCTGATACGCTTCTCAGCAACGTCACCATCCAATATGAGAGGCTGTTATCCACAACTTCTTCTCCAGTGCCATCACTGCACGTGTGGTTTTCATAGCGGTTGATCCTGCTTCTTCTGGTATTCTAATGCAATCTGAGGGCACGACAGGTGGACCGTCTCAGTTCCACAACGTCTACCACCACAGTATAAGGCCATGGCATGCAGATGAGATGGGGATACCGATTTTCTCTAATCTTTTTTCTCCCTATCACTGGTAATAAGTGTTCGAGCAAGAAGATTAAAGGGACCAATGCCTTACCCCAGCGAGATATATCGCTCTAACCTCCGTTTTCGCGTGCTTTGATTGGTTTTCCTCAAACCAACCCTATGTCTCATTATGACTACTAGAGACGAATACTATACGCGGGAACGCAGCCCCACGGCGCCTCGTCCGGCCGCCCTGCGCTACGGTTGTATCATGCCGGTCCGATATGAACCATAAAGCGCGGCTTCGTAATCATGTTAGGCAGTTGTTTAGAATCGTGGATTCCGGCCGAGTTTCGCCCATCGGGATATCGAACACGCCTTTTCCAACTATCTTCGTCGACTTACGTATGAGAGTTGCACGGCTCACAGCAGCCGGGCTATCTACTACATCAGCGTGGTATTATTTTGTTTAAAGTTGGAGCTTCTATATAGTACAGTTACTGTAGCAGGTCGTTGCGATGTGACTGCGGGTCACTTTCCGGCGTATTACTACGAGATTACCTCAATTTGTCATGGCCGGTATTAAAATAGACTGCCACAAGCACTGCAGCTTTTATTGATATTCCGATCATCGAGGAAATCTCTTCAAATTAACAGCATCATTCAACACTGCCTGGAAGCTTCTTTCGGAGCACGTCATGAGATAGGTGTGCAGCCTTAAAGTGCTTAGAATCTTAGATGACTTTGGAGAGAGCATCGTGATGGAATGTCAGAAGTCCGTGCGATAGGGAATGCATAATGTTCCCAGAAGATTCGCCGAATGTTGTGAGGCTCTTTGACTACCCTAGGACCCATCAGGATGGGACACTCCAGATGTTCCGTTGGCACCACGTAGGCGGTAGTACAGAGGTGTGCACAGAGCTAAGCCCAATAATATGCCCCCAAGAACCAATCGCTAAGATGGAAGAGGTCTAAAACCAGGTGCTACGAGATGATGACCGTCCCCCGAAGGATTCCCGTACGAAACAACGGCAGGGAGATACAAGCCGCTCCTCGGGCTATCGAATGGGGAGAGAAAGGACCTGAAGAACCCTTAATCGGAGACGCAGAGCTACACTGTCACATTTGTTCAGGAAACCCTTAGGCTTCCACCAGGATGTCCTGTTGCGGCCAATTAATTAACCAGATGCACGTCTCACTAAGCGAGTGTGGCCTGGGAATCAGATCATCTCAAACCAACCCTCCTAGGTCAGCCGAGTCGTACAGTACCAAGCTTCAACTATGTATTTCGACGTGCACAAGCATATCAAGGTTCTGACGGTCTCACGTAATAATTAAGAGCGTGCATTTTTCGTTGCTTAGCGTAGCCGCATATTGGATGGATGGATTGTAAAGTAATCATCATAAGCAATGGGATAGGTAAGATGTATGACAGCTAGGTAGAGATATGAAACAATATTTTCGATGTGGGTGTCGATAGAGGCGATTCGAAACTACCTACCTAGTATAACCTCATTTTCCAATCGCCGTGGGATTAGAAGACCTAGCTACATATACCGAGTCCCTTTTCCTAGGTACCTATTTTACATACGTAATCACCGCATTGATATAGAACTCGTAGCCGTTCGAACGCGGACCGAACGGCGCCTCGTGGCGCGGGGGCTAGGGAACCCGCGAATCGCCCATCGCCGCCCTGGGCCCTGACAGGACGCCCTCGACGCGCCTTAGTGGCGGCGCCGAGGATCTAAACCCTGACGCCACGGGTCGTTTTGGAGGGGGGATCGATCAGCTCAATAGCCGGTACCGGGACAAGGACGCTTCGCGAAGAAACTCGCTCACACACTCACATACGGCATATACGCACGCACGCACGCATACCTACACATACGCATACATACCTACGCATATACAGCATGCCGCTCGGGAGTCATCGTCGATAATCGCAGGTAGAGCTGGAAAAAAAGGGGGGGTCGAAGCCCTCCGGTGGATCCATCGTCAGCGCCCAAGGTTGATCAGGTGCCTGCGCGCAGCGCACGTGGTTCTGGTCTGCTTGGTCGGGCATACATATGTAATGTACGGATGTATGTAGGCTTCTCTGCACGGGGCGGTAAGGGGGAGGTTTTCTTTAGCAGTCGGTCGGCAGGGTTAAGGGCGGCTATTCTGGTTATTGGGGTTGGGTTAGGGGTAGGGCAGGGGTTTCTTCGTTCCGTCCCTGGCGTCGTATTTGGTTGTTTTTGGGTTTTGTTTACTTGCTTGTGAAATTCGGTTTCTAAGATATGACTCAAGTCTGTGTGTATGTCATGGAAATGAGGATGGGATTCAATATTATATATCGCTTGGATTGGATTGGTTGATGAGGTGGCTGGCGTTAAGTGGCTTCATATGGCTGTTAGTTGTCTTATATTAGCTTTTGGAAACTCAGCTATTACTCACCGAGATTCAAAATAGAAAACTCATCCTTGAACATCTTCAATAGGTAATCATACATCCTTTCATCAAAGCACATCGTAACGGAAGATAAACATACTAGGTACGTGGTATGTATTGAGTGTTGGGTTGGCTTCCTGTTCTTAATGTCCAGGGGTTGAGTCCAACAGCAGGTACAAGTAATTTCATTATACTTCCGAACGGAATGAATTGAACAAAAGTAAAATGATGAGATACGAACATTGTCCCCTAAAATCGGTTTGGGGTAATGATATTAAGTAAAATTAATCAAAAGTGGTATGTCCTAATAACTAGGACATGTAACACAGTATTTATGTATTTATAGTATAGTCTCCTGTTCGCACCTGACAAGAAAATATCCGGCAGCTGACAAAGACTTCTCAACTAAGTTTTGAAGCTCCGTCCAATCACAAGTCTTCTTTTTACAAAAGTAAAAGTAACATACCCAAGTACCCAATTATCGAACCCATGAAAAACAACCAACGGCCCCGGACATGGATAATTACCAGGTTGGCGTAGAGTACCTCTCTGCCGGCGCAAATAGGCATACTGCCGTCGCAGACTGGGGTGACGATGGGACAGTAGCCTTCGGTGCTGACTCACTAGTCGCTTTATGGCGACCACATGTAGGTCTAACTTAAGAGTTTGATGAGATCGAATGTTCTTTTGCTAATCTCAAATATCTATTCGTTCAGAATACAACACCAAGAGGTGTGACGAATCTCCTTTCGGGACATAAAGATGTTGTCAAGGCTGTTAGGTTCTTACCTAAACTTGAGGGGGAGTCTTCAGCATATTTGCTCACTGGAGCAGATGACCAGTGTCTGAAAATTTGGGCGCTTTTGGCTAACAGCGATGAACCTGGTGGCGCATCATGTATTCAAACTGTGCATGCTCATACAGCGCCTGTAAACTGTATAGCGACCCTGAACGGGAAAGCATCATCAGATTCGGTGTCGAGGATATTTGCTACGGGCGCAGCAGATGCCTCAGTAAAAGTGTGGGCATTAGAAGGTAACGAAATTCGCTTGATACAAACCCTCAAGACTTCCCCGAAGTTCTTCCCACTATCAATAGCGTTGAGTACCCTCAGCCAGGGTGGTGAGGGATTAGTTCTAGCTGTGGCCGGCACGAGAGATATTGTCCAAGTATTCGTTGCAAGCTCTAGCACTAGCCCTGAATTTCAACTTCAGGCCACCTTATCAGGCCACGAGGGATGGATTCGGTCACTGGATTTCACATGGGAGGGTAACAGTCCCGAGAGCGACCTAATACTAGCATCTGCGAGTCAAGACAAATATGTCCGTCTATGGCGATTTCACCAAGGCAAAGAGTTACCCGCTGCAACAGCGAACGGGGCTGACCCATCTCTGGGCGCATATCTACCTGGAAGGTCACCTTCAAACAAGGCCCATCGGTTGCAAGCTGCGGAAAAAGACTATTCTATAACCTTCGAGGCACTATTATTAGGACATGACGATTGGATATATAGTGCGAAATGGTACTCTAACCCATCTACCCGAAAACTTCAACTCCTCTCTACATCTGCGGATAATACACTCGCGATATGGGAAGCAGACCCTTCATCGGGGATCTGGGTCACCACGGTACGGTTGGGGGAGATTAGCCGGGAGAAAGGCGCTACGACCGCGACGGGAAGCACGGGCGGGTTCTGGACGGGTCTCTGGTCCCCGGACGGAACCTCGGTGGCGTGTCTCGGCCGAACCGGCAGTTGGCGATTGTGGGACCACAGCGCGTCTCGGGACCAGTGGCTACCACATATCGGCATCGGCGGGCACACGCGGTCCGTAACGGGCATTACGTGGTCCAAGAACGGCGATTTCTTGCTATCCACCAGTGCGGACCAGACCACGCGGCTACACGCGAGCTGGAGCAAAGGCGGCGGGGCCGGGTCCTGGCACGAGATGGCGCGCCCGCAGATACACGGCTACGATCTCAACTGCATCGACTCCTTGGGCGGGTCGCGCTTCGTCTCCGGCGCAGACGAGAAGCTGATGCGCGTCTTCGAGGAGCCGAAGGCGGTGGCCCGGCTTCTCCGCAGATTATGCGATGTTGTCGGCTCTCGTGACGAGGACGTCGCGGCTATGCCTGACGCAGCCAACATGCCCGTGCTTGGGCTATCTAACAAGGCAATAGAGGCTGTCGACGACGATCTCGAGGTCCGGGCTCCGGCGGCTACTGAGATGGACCGGGACGCCTTGGACCCTGGAACGACTGTGCGCCGGTCCGCGCTCGAGATCGAACATCCGCCCCTGGAGGATAGCCTATCACGGCATACCCTCTGGCCTGAAATTGAAAAGCTATACGGCCACGGCTACGAGATTTCCTGCCTAGCAGCGAGCCACGACGGAACGCTTGTTGCGAGCGCGTGTAAAGCGAGTTCCGTTAACCATGCCGTCATCCGCCTCTTCGAGACCGAGAAGTGGACGGAGGTGAAGCCGCCGCTAACGGCGCATTCGCTAACTACGACGCGATTACGATTTTCTCCCGACGACCGATACCTACTTAGTGTTGGACGAGACCGGCAATGGGCTGTTTTTGAGCGGGATAGCGATAACAAGCAGAGCTACAAGCTATTGCAGTCTAACCCTAAGGGCCATTCTCGAATGATCTTAGACGCCGCATGGGCGCCTTCACTGAACTCATTGGTGTTTGCTACAGCCGGCCGAGACAAGCAAGTCAAGATATGGCGGCAAACACCGGCCGACTCAGGAGATCCCAATATCACTTGCGTGACGACGATACCTGAAACACATCCAGTTACGGCTATCGACTTCTTACACCGAGACGCTGAGAGCAGCGCCTATCTCCTGGCGGTTGGCACTGAGATTGGAAAAATATCCATATATTCGATTGATGCGACCTCGCTTAGCGTATCTACAACACTGAATCTAAGACCAGAGTAAGGTTTCCCACTACCCTAGCAAGTAATCGCCCACTGACAAAAGTTTCCAAGATTATGTCTTGCGAAAGCTGTTTTGCAACTATCGTGGAGACCGCAGCGAACTGCAAACGAGCTGGCGATAGCTGGAGAGGATGGCTCACTTAGAGTATATTCACTTTCAGAGAGAAATCCATGATGTTTTGAGGCCATCTATGCGACTGTCTAAACACCGCCATTATTTGTCCAAAACGTATTCTTCCTCTTGCACAGACATTCATACATGCCTGCTTGTTGACGCCAATTCTATTGATCCGAACGCCAGACCATATATCTCTTAAACACGTTAACGCCGCAACTCGCCGCGCATCTGGTCAAGCCAGCTAATTAAAATTATTACATGGATCATTTATCATCCGCGTGATATCTAGGAAAGGCCGTCTTTTTCGAATCTCGTAAAGGGGCTTGCGCATTATAGTTCCCGAATCATGGATTCCACGGCCTCGGTAGCCGCCGCCATAGTCGTGGTCGTAGATGAGGTTGCTAGTGATAGAGCGTCCTTCTTTCCGGCAATGAAGTTTGATGCGAAACCACTCTCACCGCCATTCACGTAGAACCAGGCGCGGTTGAAGATGAAGAGGACATGTTGCGGGAGATAGAGGACGGTGGCGATCATTAGGAGGCTGTAGAGGAGGAATACGACGGACCCTAAAAATATGTTAGAGCTTGCTATCGGATGCGATATAATATTTTATCTTGCGCAAGGCTGGTATCTTAACCCCTTATGCCTTGTGGCCGTAGAGATAATTCCGGATAGCGATTGATTAATAAAATGGGAAGACTCACAGAATACAAACTTCTCAGTTGGCGTAAACATGTAAACGCCGAAAGTAACCTCGATCTGGTACTGCTTCAGCCGAAGCCAGCGCCCAAATCGCTGGATCGCGTTTTGGTTCTCGGGTTGTTTCGTCAGGTACTCCATCTTGTTTAGTTTTTGCTTTTTAAGTCTTTCCTCTTTTCAGATTTCCTTTGCTGAAGATTTATTCGCAACTAGTTCAATGCAACCCAAGCTCTTCGGCGTTGTTTCTATAGTTCGTCTCGTTCGTGTGATCGAAAAGGGGGAAGCGAGTGGAAAGAATGGATGTGTTGCCCGTAGCCGATATCTTATTTATTTTCCCGACAAGGGGGAAATGGTATTATTATTATTAGAGTTAAAGATAAGGTTCGATTAACTTTAGCTTTGCTAGTATTGGGGAAGCAACGAGTGAGGCGTAAATATTCGTATCGGAAGGTTCGGTCACTGGGAATAGGGAAAGAGAGGATTTAAAAGTAGAAGCCGGGATCGTTCGAGAATCGAGGTCGTGCTTGTGCTGTGCTCCTAAATTGAACGGATTCGAATTGGTTACCTCCACCAAAGACGCGCAATTGGAGTCAATTGAGTGCTGCTTGATTGGATTGGGAAACACCCCCCTTGTTGTTTTTTGAGTGGTAATATGGAAATGAAAATGGACCAATCATATTGAGATAGTGGGGTAAGGGTCTCCCTTTTATTTCTGTAATCCTTGTCTGATCTTACTGTTCACGCTAATTACTTAAGCATACATTGACAAGAAGGAAAAAAGCGGGAGTGACGTCGCGTTGTCGGGTTTTGGCAGCTGCCAGTCAATATTTTGTGTTCGCATATCGTAAAGCTAAACGAAGTTATACATTTCGTTCACGACGCCCTTCCGAATAGCTCTTAGTGGTTGACGGAAAGCCCGGGGCAGTTGATTTTCGTTATTGAGGAGCGATCCACGAATGATTATCTCTATTACGAGCAATGGCCTGACTCAATAGAAGACCCTACCTACCAGCCACAATTCCTAGCTGTTGCTACTGGTAGTGCGGGACAACGGCGATTATGACAACAATACCAACGCTGCTGCGACCACTTCGCAGTATCCTCGCAATCCCATCTACCAGTCAACGATCACTTTTTGCCCCCACCATTGCACCGCGGCTATTCCTCTGCACGTCCGGACCCCTCCTCAAGTCTGTCAATTTTCCACCACGCCCGAAGCCACCCCCAGAAGAGGAAATCGAGGAGTCGTTCCTAAAGGGCAGCGGGCCAGGAGGGCAGAAGATCGTATGCCACCACCTCACTTTACTCAACCCAACCTCCCCTCCCCTTTTTCATCATTCAGCCAACTAAGTAATTAACAATCCAGAACAAAACCAATTCCGCAGTCCAGCTCAAACACTTACCCAGCGGCATCGTCGTCAAATGCCAAGCCACGCGCTCGCGGAGCCAAAACCGAACCATAGCGCGACGATTACTAGCCGAAAAACTCGATAACCTCACTCTCGGCGACCAGAGCCGCTCCTCCGTCGTCGGTCAAGTCAAGCGCAAGAAGAAGGCCAGCTCCGCTAAGAAAAGCCGGAGGAAGTACCGGAAGCTAGAAGAGGGTAAGGCCGGGGCTGCTGGAGAGGAGACATTGGAGGAAGAGGAAGACGTAGACGAGGAAGATGGTGAGTTCAAGGAGCCTGCACAAGATGAAGGAAAACCAAATATCCATAACCAAAACGAGTGAATATATACCATTTATATACTTGAATACTCGGCACAACTATCAAGCGTACCGAAAACAAATCTTGGCAATCGTAAATTACAATTAACTCTACACTATTTGAACACGCAATGACAAATCTAGACCTCGGAAAACGAACATTACCCCGGATCAATATGTACGAGGCTTTTAAAGGGTTGCGGTTCACATTGTTCACACCAGGCTTGTTACTTGAGAACGGAAAAACAGAAGTAGTATATGATCAACCTCGGCTGGAATTGTCTACCATCCCGTGCTTGAAGCCTCCTAAAAAGTAAAGCACCTCATATTCTCTTTTCTCTTGGAGTAATACAGCCCTAATCTCCGGACCACTATCAGAACCTTTTGTAGATACGAGTCTCGACAGGGATACATTCGCAACGGTAGGAGCTGCGCATGGCTCATGCTCCGGTTGGGAACATCGTAGGCTCGTGAGAAGTTATCGGACACGTGGTGTTTAAGAAGCTGGTATAGAGTTAGATACTAGAATGGCTATAAATGGAGCGAATTGGCTTAATAATACCTTAGAAGCACTTGCGATGAACGATCGAGGGACCGCTCTCATCGTACTCCTGCTTAGAGATCCACATTTGCTGGAAGGTAGACAGAGAAGCCAAAATAGAACCACCGATCCAGACGGAGTACTTTCGCTCTGGGGGAGCAATGATCTTGACCTTCATGGAAGAAGGTGCAAGAGCAGTGATCTCCTTCTGCATACGGTCGGAGAGACCAGGGTACATAGTGGTACCACCAGACTAATCATCCTGTTAGCGCCTAGTGTGAGGCTTAAAATGGAGCATAGGATACATACCATGACGATGTTTCCGTAGAGATCCTTTCGGACATCGACATCACACTTCATGATGGAGTTGAAAGTGGTAACGTGGATACCACCGCTTTCGAGACCGAGAACAGAAGGCTGGAACAGAGCTTCAGGAGCACGGAATCGCTCATTACCAATAGTAATGACCTGACCGTCAGGAAGCTCGTAGGATTTCTCCAAGCTGGAGCTCTGGGCAGCAGTCTGGATCTCCTGCTCGAAGTCAAGGGCGACGTAGCACAGCTTCTCCTTGATGTCTCGGACGATTTCTCGTTCGGCGGTGGTAGAGAAGGTGTATCCACGCTCAGCCAGGATCTTCATTAGGTAGTCGGTCAAATCACGACCAGCCATATCGACACGGGCAATGGCGTGAGGAAGGGCGAAACCTTCGTAGATAGGGACAACGTGGGTAACACCATCACCAGAATCCAGCACGATACCGGTGGTACGACCGGAAGCGTACAGGGACAGAACGGCCTGGATAGAGACGTAGAAAGCGGGGGCGTTGAAGGTCTCGAAGACAATCTGGGTCATCTTCTCACGATTGGACTTAGGGTTGATAGGGGCCTCAGTGAGCAGGACGGGGTGCTCCTCAGGAGCCACACGCAGCTCGTTGTAGAAGGTGTGATGCCAGATCTTTTCCATGTCATCCCAGTTGGTGACAACACCGTGCTCGATGGGGTATCGCAGTGTTAGGATACCACGCTTCGACTGTGCTTCATCACCGACATACGAGTCCTTCTGACCCATACCAATCATGATACTAGCACACAGTTAGATATCGCTGCGCGAACACAGTATATGTTATCGAGATCGGCTACTCACCCATGGTGACGGGGACGACCGACAATGGATGCTATACCCAAATGTTAGAAAGCGGATCCGAGGTTGAGGCCGCCACGAGGCTCAAGCGGGGGCGGCCGTTGGGCGAGGATAGAACTTACGGAAAACAGCTCGGGGAGCATCATCACCGGCGAAACCGGCTTTGCACATACCCGAACTAGGACCAAGTTAGCTGAAGTGTTCTACCATTATGCACCCAGATGTTGAAATCGCGGAATTTGGGTCGTGTTTTGGATCTAAGACCCCCACGACCGATGCGCGCTGCAGGATGCGGTGAGAAAAGGCGAGTGAGATCTTACCCATTGTCGATAACGAGGGCAGCAACTTCCTCTGTAGATAGGATACGTGTCAGCTATTGTAGTCTTATTGTAGCTTCAAATGAAGCCAGCGGAATGGAATTCGATAAGAGATGAGGTGGTGTTGACAGATTACATACCCTCCATTGTGATGGATTACGTAGGTTAGGTATCGAAAGATTAATAAAAGAAGAGAATGAGGTCGTTACTTTCAGCCCACGCGATTCCCAGATCGTGAGAGCAAAGGTGATGGTGTTTTGTCGAAGCCTGTTGTGGACAAAAGACAACGAGGAAAGGAGTTGTTTGTTAGGTGGAAGTTGATTTTAAGGTAGAAGAGTCGGACAGTTAATTGCTTCTGGGGCGAGAGTGTGGGAGAAAAGGGAGGAACGAAGCTGGTTTGATGCACCGATCCCACAGTTCGATGGGAAGAACTTGTGGGCCGAACAAAAAAAGAGGCGGGGCAATGGCCAAGTACAAAATACGTACGCCTATCAGAGACGGCATAAGTCTTTAAGTACCGAAGTACCTTCACTTTTTACAGGGGGGAAAGGGGCAGGAAATGGCAGGAATGGCCTCTGCGCACACAAATATTAGGTACCTAAACCAGCTAACTCACTGTACGTAGTACCCAGCTGTACCCTTATTAAACAATAAACAGCACACCTATCACTCACCGCTGTCACAAAGCAGAAATTGTTAAGATGAGCTGGTGAATCCTTTGATTTGGTGCTGAATTAGGCAATCACATTCAGTTGTCCATCTTTCAAGGATGACTTTGATATTTTGACATTTTATTGTTGTCAAGCATCAGCCTTAGTATCTTGTCGAAGGCACCGAAATAACGAGGTCCCTAGCCGCCTAGCTTCAAAATACTATGTGGATGTGCATACAACAATGGAATGGCCTGTGCAGTCTGGTCTTATCTTGATACTCAGATGCCTAGAGTCCGAAGGTCGACTTCTCGCCAAGACTACCGAGCAACCAACCCAACCCACCTCACCGTACATGGGCAGTCAGGGGTTCTTTCGACAGACTACAACTCAAGTCGTCCTAATAAAGGCCCCGAGGACCGATGGCGTAGCCTTGAATCTCTTTCACACATAAGCAGTCTATGATGTATGCTTGTGGCTTAGCATGCACACCTAGGTATACAGTAAGGGGATACAATTACGTAGAGTAAGAAACATCCTATGCCCCGTACCTAGCAATCACTATTGGTCGGCGCCAAGCAGGCATCGCCTATCCGGCTTAAACATGTCAATCTCACGGGGCAAGTGGGTTGCGAAATGCAGGGGCAGAATACATTGTGTTGTGTTACCTCTATTATTCTCTAACACGTCTTTCATTCAGTAATCATCAGGCATCTACAACAATCACTTCAATAGATGACTATACGAGTCTGACGTAACACCTATGATGGATGCTATATATAACAATTTGTCAACTATTAGGTACCTAGTAAGTAGACATGTCATTAGATACTCAAGCCCCGAAAGAGGATAAGGGGAAGAGGAGACAATTAACAAGGTAGTAGTTTTAATAATAAGTAACTGGCTAACCCTGAGTATGGTATCATTCAGTTTGATATCGTAACATGGCGACTTCAACAAATTTTACATATTATTATCTCAAGCAAGCTAGGGTGTTAGCGGTCAAGAAACTGAAGGCGGGGTGAGGGGCATCTGTAGCGGGGCATCTTATCCAATCCCTGTGGCTAGGTAAGTAATAAATAGAACGGCACATTGTGGCTTGAGATATCTATACTGGGCAATCTAGTTGCGGAATTTTATACTGGGTAGCAAAAATGCTTTTTACAGTGTTGAAATTCACTACTATTGTATAAGATAAGCAATGCAGACGGTGTGAAATTTAGCATTTAAATTCTCGTTTTAATCAGTGACTATTTTTCATGGGTTCCACTTTTATGGCTTATCGACCCTATCCTTGTGAAGCTTCGCGAATCTTGGAGATCTCAAAAGAAGCTTATGTTCAATGTACATAGTAGGCAGAATACTCAGCCGAAACTTTTCAGCAACTTCCCTAGTAACGAACAAATCTAAAGAAAGAACTATCGCGACTTAGAGACCTACTCAAAGACGTTGCGCAATCTTTACATTGAAACGTTCGCCAAAAATACCTTCATATCAGAAAATTATTTCCAAATCGGCAAGAGAAAAAAAACGATCGATCACTCGGTACCCTGTCCCAAACGACGTAATCTACCGAATTTCAACACCCTCCTTGCATATCCCCAGCCGACGACACCCCTTCAAAACCAGCATCTAAACACCCCCCTCGAAGGGTAAAAACACCACGAAAATGGCCGGAATGGACAAAAACCTCAACGAGCTCCTAAAATGGGGCATCGAAAACTCAGCCGCGCCCGACCCCTCCGCGCCGGAGACCTCAGGACCCAAAACATCTCTAAACGCGGAAGCGCTAGCGGCAATCATGGGCGCGCCGTCAGACGCGGAGTTGATGCAGGCTTCTATGGCGGCGATCACGTCGAAGGACCCGGAGATGACGCTGGAGTCGAAGCTAACGGCGTTCGATAACCTGGAGCAGCTGGTCGAGTCGCTTGACAATGCGAACCTATTGTCGCGGCTGGGGCTGTGGACGCCGTTGCTTGAGCTGCTGGGCCACGAGGAGGATCAGCTGCGGCTGATGGCAGCCTGGTGCGTCGGCACCGCCGTACAGAACAACGCTCCTAGCCAGGAGCGTCTGGTTGCGCTTGGTGGTGTTGAGAAGCTGGTCGCTATGGCTCTTGGCGAGCGGTTGCCTATGGAGAAGCGCGCTGGGGACGGAGAGGAGACGACTGGGGAGGCGGTCGCTGCTGCTAATACCAATGGGGGAGCGGCGAAGGATGTGCGTCGCAAGGCTATTTACGCGCTTAGCTCCGCGGTGCGGAATTACCAACCCGCGTTAGATGTCGCTGCGAAAGAATTGCGGAAGAGAGGTGAGGATGTTCAGGAGGGGATGGATGCGACAGACATGGATGCGCTAAATGAGTTGATGAACGGGTTGAAGAATAAGGCTTTAAACGCATAGATACCTCTTGACGGTTAGGGGCATGAGGGAATAGGAGGATATCTTCATGGCATTATCGGCGTTGGTGGGTACATCCGGTCACTAAAAAGGGGTTTAGGCAGTCACGATATACTTGGGGGGAGTCACGATTGCTGAATGATGAAATGGGAATTACATCGTCTACTCGTTATGACTCGTGACGTTTCATATTGTACAGCTGTATTACAGTGTATCGCATCTTGCTTATTTGGCGGGATGATATATGTACAAGTAGACAACAGGAGCGTTGTCGCTTCTTATTCTACTAACTCGCCCTGGAATGGGATGCCTAAACCCATACATAGTAGCCTGGCGTGTCTGTTTGACTTCGCCGTAGTTTCGAGGGTGACGTAGCAACCGGAAACCATCTTAGATGGATATAACTAATACGCGTGTCAGTGAGTGAGTAATTTTGTTGCCTAATCGTTTCGGCGACTTACTGAATAATTAGCCTCAACTTCTGGGAAGTATTGCACGTCCTGAGGTTCGAAGCCCCAGCTGATATTACCAGTATGGTCGCCGGAGGTACCTAGACTTTTGTCAGTGTCCTATCCCTCTCCTATTTGCATCTTTTAACGTGCTAGGTAGCCAAGGAGTACGAACCCGGAATACCCTTCCAATCCTTGATCTTAGGAAACACCAAGTGAATCATCTTATCTACGAATTCATAGGCCTGATCTCCGTAAACGCTGACCTTAACACCGGTCCTGTCACCCTTGACAATACCCCACTGGGCAACGCTCTTCTTCGTTCTCGTGACCACGGGGCGGACACCTGTTATAGTTTGCAGTACCGACCGTCCAACGATGAGGTGATCCGGGTTCCTCTTGGCACTTGGCATGTACATAGATAAATGCACGGCCCTAATCTCAGGAAGGTTGCGCCAGTTGAGATTCTTTTCAATAGGGAAGAGAACGCCTCTACCTCGTGGCCCACGTTTGGGTCGGTTCTTCATGTATGGTGATGAGTCGTCCCATTCCCGTAATCGAATCTTTTCGGGCTCGGGGGGAGTTCCAGGGGGGATATGCTGGTACGTCATGGTCATGATATCTGAGGTGACAGTTGAGTGGTAGGTCTGCTTGAGTCGAGGAAGGTTGAATGGCCCAGGAGAGAAGTTTCGAGCGACTGGATCTGAAGACGGTGGCGGTTGGACCGGGTGTAAAGGTCCTCGGTCGAACTTTGGAGGACGGTATCGGTATCTACACACCAAATATCCATTAATCTCGTCCTCTCTGATATTAGATCGAATTGATCTCATGCCTACCTTTCGTGGGGAAGCTCATAGTTTCTACGGCTTGCTCTCTTTCGTGGATCAGTAAGTTTAATGCCCTCCCTAGCAGGAATTGGGGTCGCCAGGCCAGAGTCTTGCTCAATATCAGGTATTGTAGGTGCAGGCGCAGCGGCTCCGGTTGATACACATCTTTGAAAGTTTGTTGCGCGAGGCTTCCAGCGCGATACACTGCTAAGAAGCTGACAGCTCGCACGAGGCATCTCTCTTAGAGCCGCCATGATGCGTTTGCGCCTGCTGACACCAAGTCCTAAGTTCAATGGCGACTTCGCGCATTCAATCTTCTAGACTCTCAAAAGTGAAATTTCAATGTGCTATCCCGCTGCCCCACTGAGAAAGCTTCTCGGCTAAACTAATATCCGATCTTTGCTTCTTTATTGTTATTGATGGATCCATAGATGGATCTAATCCTTGTTGATCTTAGCCCCAATCTTAAAGCTTCTTTGATATGACTGGTCAAAAGTTAAAGCAAGCATTACCTTACTCCACGTTCAAAAGTTCAGCTAACCATCTTAAGTAATCGTGTAATTCCGTGTCTGAAGCCTTCATGTACTACAGAATCAGTTCTTATGTGATGTTTTGTCAATGGTGACAATAGTGACAATAATACCTAACTACGTATATTTAAGTTATATGTGGATGTCAATACAAGGATTTATTGGATTGGATTTAGGTAACGTTTTCAATTTACCTAAGCAATTGTTGTATCCTTTTCATGCATCACAAATTCTCTACTGTTTGCTTAGTAGCCCACTAATTAGATTACCTACCGTCAAAACACTACATTATATCACAAATGTTTGATATATAACTCAGATTGTTAGAGGATGTACGATATGTCACTACTAAACATGAGTTGCGTTTATTTTGGAAACAGGAGATTCGAGATATCAATAATACCACCAACTACGTGATCGCATGTCGATCACCTGACGAACTCTCCATTGTAGGGCTAATCACAGGTGCCAAAGCTCCGGGTACTAGTTCATCTTCTTTTGGTAACCCATCATCATGAATCGTCCATACCTGTGTAGCACGAGACCGCCTCGGAATGCCAGACTTACCGGATTACAAATGCTACAATATCTAGTAGTGTAGGTAGGTGCTGCTACCACGAGATACATATTAGATCTAAAAGTTGCTGGCTGAGGCTGAAAATGTACAATGTATTGTAGGTAGTTGCCTATACTTATACGTATGATTTACCCGCAAGCTTTGACGAATCTTAGATTACGTATATGGTTAGTTGTTCATACATATTAAGATCATCTGTGTTTTCGGCTGACGACTAGGCAGGTTAGTTTTCGTTTATCGTATTCGCTGCGAAGACTTCACTATAGCGCCGAATAATCAACGAGGTTTATTATCAGCCGATGGAGTCAACTGCACCTACAGGTAGTAAATTAGTGGTAGGCGTTAGCTAAGAAGAAAAAAAAAGGCGAGATCTCATTCGATCGCCCATAGCCAGGGGAGGAAAGCCCAAGCATTCCCGTCTGCAGCGCTAGGGTCCTACCAATGAAATCGAGGGACTGGCCTTCTAGACTTCTTCGTAGGGAAAGTAGGTTCCGTGTTGAGGTACGGACCAGATTTAGTTTCCTTAGTTTCGCTCGTCCCGAGAAACATGCCAGGTGCTGCTCAAAGTTCTCACGCCGCACCCTCCTAAGAAAACCTCCAATACTTTTTAAGTTACGAGACTTCCAGTGTACCGATTAAAGTTGCGCCGGTAACTTATAAATGTTATATCTCAGAGGTATGACTTTGTGATATGATGTAATAAATTGAACATGTCGGTCTACGTAGATGGAAACGACACCCGATCATATCCATATACATATTCCACCTTTTTTCGGGTCTCTGCCTTTTCCGACTTACACAACATTACCAGCCTGGCTGCCTAGGACCTAAGGAACCTCTTAAATTCGAGAAACATCCATCTCTCAAGGGAGACTAGGACTCGTGGTTGAAAAGCTTCCTATTTTTGAATCACGCGAATCAGATTATATAAGGTAATCCTCAATAGGAACGCAAGCCGGTCAATCGGTCAATTTTGGATCGCCCATTGTTCCTTTTTTAGGGGGGTGAACCCTTGACGCGAAACGCTCCCTCGGGCTTCCTCAACTCCCCGTTTAGTACTGTGCAGCGCAGCGCAACCCCGACCCTACAACTTACAAGGCCCTACACGCCCTAGCAGCTTAGCAGCTTAGCAATGCAAACCTAGCACCTAGTACTAGGTACAGCACTTCAACTTGTCTGGATTCTTGGCTGCTGCAAGCTCCCGCTGTCTCTCAAACGCCTTCTTTTCTCTCTTCATTTGATACAAAGTAGATCAAATTGACATTCTCATAATTTTCATATTGGATCATGCTAGATTCCCTTCTATTTCACCATCATCTTCAACCTTAACAACGCGTTTTCGCAACCAATCCAAGACTTTTAATTCAAGACGTCTCGATCCCCAACCTTTGGTCTTGGCATACTCATTCATCTACAGGTGGCAGCTCCGAAGCGTCGCCTCCGTTTTAGGAAGAGAAGAGGAAGGAGAAAGGGGAATAATTCATTTGAACGTCACACAGCAATCCCGAATTTCGAAATATGATTGAGAGCATGTCGTGTCGTTGCAAATCGTAAACTATCGACGATTGCCGCCTTTTATCAACCTCTAACGTAGCCCCTCGGGCAATTTTCTACGATGCGAGACCCCACCATGAAGACCACCAGCCTTCCTAAGAAGTTCCTAAGTCGCCGCGAGAAGAATAGTCACCGTCGTGGCAGATCATCTGATCCAGCCCATAAGGTAAGGTGACATCGGATCTGTCAACTCTGCATCTTAGTGATATCTCTGCTAATTACACCATTTCTTCTCCAGCATCGTCCTCTATCGTCCGAATCCTTTTTCTCTCTCTTCAAACCAGAATCTGTTAAACAATGTGTTAATCCCGATACGGAGCGAGAAAAAGAAGCGGCTAAGGTGCGTTTACATGTCATGGACATTCATTCGCGCCTCAGCGTGACCTAACCTTTAAATCGAACAGATCGACGACATACGAAGACGAATTGCAGACCTAGATTTCCCCCTTCTAAACGATGACCAGGTCCGATATGTGCTTCACTCCAAGTACTCTTCCGGCAATGTCGAAAAAGCTATCGAGCTGCTATCGCTACAGCAGCAATCCCTCTCCGGCAAGATTCTTAGTTACAACCCTGCCGTTCACATGCTTGGAGCTGAAAATCGAGGAAACGTAACTTGCTACCTTGATGCCTTGCTTTTTGCTATGTTTGCGAAGCTTGAGTCTTTCGAATGCATGCTGAAAAATGAAACCACGGAGGAACCGCAGAGGAAATTAGCTTTACTTCTACGACTTTGGGTGAACATGCTGAGAAGTGGAAAATTAATCGAAACAGACATGGTAGGCGACATTCCTGGCCTATGGGGTTTTAGTGAGACTAACTCTCAACTAGACGGAACATATCCAAGATGCATTAGCCGCATGTGGTTGGAGAGAAGCGCAAATGTTGGAGCAACAGGACACATCTGAAGCCTTCGCATTTATAACAGAGACCCTCCAGCTTCCCCTTCTTACTTTACAAGTCGACTTGTTTCACCAAGGCAAGAATGACGATGCGGATCACAAAGTTGTTTACGAAAGGCTCTTGAACCTTGCCGTGCCACCAGATAATGATGGCAAAGGCATTAAGTTAGAGGACTGTTTAGAAGAATACTTTAACTCGCAGGTTGACGTTCTCAGAGACAGCCTCGACGAGAAGAAGGCTGCAGAAAGATCTAACACACTACCAAAGCCTCTGTCTCCTACGAATTCGATCGACTTAGACGATACTATTGGGGTTGTTACCGAGGAAACCCAACAAGACGATGACGAGACTGGTCCTTATCTAGAGAGAAGATGGACAGTTGCACCAGATTCACATTCCCTTAACCATCGAAACAGTGGGGATGTCGAGGCTTCAGGGTCTCAGCCAATTGTAAAACCAAATCGGAGCCGAACAGACAGCATCATACAACGCGTTGTACTCGACGAACAAGGCAAGCCAACTGAGTCAGATGCAGCAAGCCTATTCCAGAGAGCTAAGAAAACAGCATCTGTTGTCAGAGCTGTAACAATACCTGCCTGGCAGTTCTTTAGATTAATACGTATGATAAAACCCCATTACCTATTTACTACTATGGAACTAATATAAGTTGTAGCTTGGCACTCACCGGCGAATAAGGAGCCAGAGAGTGATTTGGAGGTTGCCCGGCATTTTAACCAAAGACCAGTCGTTGGTATCTGCCTAAAACGATACATGATGGACGAAAGGGGAGACGTGAAACGACAGAATACGTACATTGATATCCCTGACAGCTTACGACTACCGCATTTCATCGTCGATGAGAGACAGGTGGAAGAAAGCGGACTCGCCACCGACTACAAGCTCGTGCTTCAATCTGTAGTGTGCCACCGAGGGGATTCGCTACATTCTGGACATTATGTCTCATTTTGTCGTGTTGCCCCCAAGCTTCTCACGGATAACCGCAGACACGATAACGATCCTCCTCCTGATTACGAAGAGGCACAATGGGTCAAGTTTGACGATCTTGCGATTGACCGAGTCACCCTTGTTGATGACATCAAGCAATCGCTTAAGGAAGAAATGCCTTACTTATTGTTCTATCAGATTGTTCCGATAGTAGAGGTAGCGGCCAGTTCGACAGAGGGCACGGACGTAGAACCGCCATCCTACGATGACGCTGCGCTTAACCTAACAAACTCCGAGACATCAGCGGCGCAAAGCCAGGATAGGCTCATGGTCTCCCGCCAACCCAGCAGCTACTTTGATAACTTGAATGTTCAGCCATCCACCAACAACAGCAGCATACGGTTTTCATCCGAATTAGAGCGACCACGCCGCAGCTTCGCAGATGAAGATGGATTCCTCAGCGTATCTCGCCGAGGGAGTATCTACAACGATTCAATCGCCCCAAGCCCGGTCGCAGTATCAGAGACCCCTTCGCCCGCTGTCACGCCCGGAGAAGAGACTACGGCCCAGAGACTTAGTCGAGCCGCCGCAAGATTCAGGAGTGGTAACAAGAGCAGGCCTCAAAGCCAGGCTGGCGATAGTCGCAAGAGTTTAACCGTAACGAGGTTTGGGGGCTTCATGAAATCTAGCAAAGAACCACTGCGAGATTCGGCATCTACAGATGCCGAGGACGACTATGAATTTGTGGAGAATGTCAGTAAACCTACCGCTAAGGAGAATGGGCCAGATGTAACACCTACGCAGAAAAGAGGGAAATCGAAACAACGAGTGGACAAAGGAAAGGGAAAGGAGAACAAGAAAATGAATTTACCGGATAGGGAATGCATTGGTGAGTATATCGCTATTTTCACTCTTTTTCGGAACTCTCGTTTCCCCTTCACGAAATCCTAGCGATCTTTTCATGCTAATACTATACTATAGTGCAGTAATGATACTATTTTACGTGGTTGGGTCGGTCTGATTGATTTGAGAAATAAGATACCCGGCAGGCGTTGGCGATACAGAATATATGCCGCAAGGAATACGAAAACGGCACGGCTGGTTTATAGGCATACGTCGGTAATGGGTCAATTTTCTGGTCTGAAAATTATTGCATGAGCATGGAGCGCTAGAGGACAAGCAGCCACTGGACAGCATTCAAAAAGGCGTTTTGAGATTTATTGAAGTGTTAGGAGACGCGGGTTTGTATTGTATAATGAATTCATTAGTGATACCAGCTGGTCATACATGATGAACAGTAATCCAGAGGCTGCGGAGAGGCATCTTTATTCCTAGTTGAATAAATAAAAAGTACCAAGCGATATTTATGATATTGTTCAGCATAAATGATTTGTTTCGCTGCAATTTACCTAAATTTTCAGTAATATAACACGTCCACGGGTACGTTCTAGCAGCGGGTAGAGAGAACCAGTGAGGATTAAGATGAAGATGATTGGGGTTTTGATCACTACTTCTTTCTCCCCTTGTCCCCGCCGGAGCTTCCCCGTCGGAAGCGACGGCGAAAATCCGGCTTCATTACCGTCTGACATGGATAATTAGAAGGACAGATGCCGGGGCGGAGCGGGAGGCAGGAGCGGACTGCGGTTCCCCGAAGCCTGTAAGTATGTCGGGCATCGGCGGATTTGGCCGGGAGTGGATAGAGGTATACATATGGATGTCAATTCGTGTGCCGATAGACCTGATACCTAGTAATGTTTTATCTAGATACTTTCCAAGGTATGAGGATGGCTAAAGGAGTGATTGGATAGATGCGATCTTGGTAGCTAATAGTTGCATTTTGTAGCTAGCCCTTAACCAGATCGGGGATCGAGAAACGGGTATGGAACAGGAAATCTGCTACTTATTCTTGGCTGAGATTCTATAGGTGAGCTCTCGTATTTCTTGTATAGGTATTACCTACCTAGGTAAGTATGCATTTAGCTAGATTCTTGCATTTTCAAGTTTGTTTCAGGCGTAGTCTTAAGTATCCATTTCACCAGCCAAGAAGACGGGTCTTAGTCCTCCCGCCTTAGGAGAGATCATCCAGATGTCTTCGACGTGGAATTATATGAAAATCACATAATAGTCGTCTATTCATAAACACCTATCCTAACCATACCTAGAATCATGATTATACAGAATCGTAGGGCAGAAAGTATCGGCGTGAGTGTTTCCCATGTCTATAAACGACCAAGAAGAGTCCTGACCTAATCCTCATCCGTAATCTTGTCTCTTACGGCCTCCGCCGCCGTGTTCACGACCCTCTCTGGTGGCTTTTCGACAACGATAGGGGGTAGTGCGGGTGCGGAAAGGCCGCCGCCTGGTAGCGGTCCCGGGGTATCACTGGCACTTTCTGGTACGGGTATACGTATATCTTCAGGAGAACCAGGAACTGTCCTTGGATCGAGGCCCGGAATATGGATACGTTTAGCATCGTTCTGGTACGCCCCCGGGATGACTTCGATGATCTCGTTCCGCGGGAATTTGAGATTTGGAATATCCATAGTGCTGCAATGCATAAGGTAAGCATAGAGGACGCGTAGTACACTCTCGTGGGCGATGATTAAGAGGTCATTCTGCTCGCGTTCAAGCTCCAGGATGATCGGTTCAAGTCGTACAGCGAGATCATGATAGGATTCAGCACGAGGATAACGGTGGTGGTATGGGTCAAGTTCATGCTTCTCAACTTCATCGGGATACAAACGGCGGATTGCACGTTCGCTAAGCCTTTCGCATACTCCTGGGTTGATTTCAGCCATTTGGCTACGCTGTCGAACTTTGTATCCTAGTTCCTTGAAAATGTCTGATGTCTGCAACGTGCGCATGCGTGTTGAGCACCACACTGCAAGTGGGCGTAAAGGCGCATTAGGTCCGCCTTGCAATACTCGTTCTTGCTCACGGTGTTTGATTACCGTCTCAGTCATCACCTTAGCATACTTCTGCCCTTCCTCAGATAAGGGCGCATCTGCCTTGTAGCTCTCCTCTTCCATCGCTGTACCCGGCCGAACAAAAAATGTTGCTCTGGACTTGATGTGGGTGTTGGTTAGATAGAAGACGATACGGTGAGAGAGATAGTTGAAGGATACGTTGTTGTAAAAGAATTTCTGGCCTGCGTTAATCATCTTAATATAATTAAGTTCTTTCTCGTCCATTGTCTCAAAGACAGGAATCTTGGTTTCCATGCGCTCTAGGTAGAGTTTTGCGGCTTCATCGGGGTCCATGTTGGCAAACTACATATATCAGCCACAGTCAAGTGAAGAAGTGATTCCTGATACATACATCGGGAGAGCCGATTTTGACATTACGTGCGTTTTCTCTAAGCAGATTATCGTCGTCGACATAGGATTCTAGGAATAGAGTCTAGTGTTGTTAATCACTGGTTTTTATCATCGCATGTTTAGGTATGATTTCCTACCTGGACGTCATGCTTTGCGAACTCTTTAGCTAATGACCGACGACTGCTTGCAGTAGGATTCACTGCATCATATATTGCCACTTGGCCATTTTCATGGTTGAGCCAGCCGTAGATGTCCTCGCGACACTTCTTAAGAATCTTCTGACGTAGAACAACAGATGCCGGAGAGGCATTGGGATAGAAATAGTCGTCAGGTACATGACCACCTTGTCCAACAGTAGCACGACGGTAGTCCCCGAGGTGGAAAATCCGTGTTTTGACACCTAACCTAGAATATATGAGATAATATTCATAATACGAGAGCAACTACCTAGCGTACCATTGTAGATATCGCGCCAATGAAACGGCAATATGGCTGGAAAGGCGTTAGTAGTAGCTTGGTACAATAGATGGGGAGTTGAAACTTACGTTTTCCCTCGAGCAGGAAGCCCTACCATGACGATTGCAATACGACCGGAGTGGAAAAGCCTTCCGGACATAGTGCTGTATAGTTGGGCGGGGGCTCTGTCGCCATCCTCCGGGACATCATGAATGCCATCGATGAACGTACTGCTCTTGCGCCGGTATCTCGGAGCATTCGCGGCAATATCCGCAGTTCTGGTACAATTAGTACCCTTCATGGTAGTAAACATCACTATCTTAAACTTGATGCTGTATGTTCTTTGAGGGGACAATGAAATTCAACAGGGGCTAAATAATACGAATTGAAAAAAGTGGCAGGTAAGCTCTGTCTTGACAAAGGACGTCCTTTTTGTCAAAAGAATGGCAACAAAACTAACCATTACGCTGCTCCTGACTTCCATTTTGATATCGATGCATCGCAAGCGCGCTCAAACGACAAGACAATCATCAAGCAAGGACAATCCACTTACAGTAATGTATCCATGATTTTGACCTGCTTCAGCAGTCCTTGCTCCTGAGTCGTCTAGATCGTTAAGAGCCGCGGTGACGGTTACGTCAACTCGCAGATCAAGGTGTTGTTTTTTCTTTTCACCTGGAAATTGACAATTTGAGATGCAGTTGAATATTATGTAAACAGAAATTTGAATGCGACGGGTCAAAACTTAACAATCTCTGGATTGCGACTAGAGAAGTAAAGCCTCACTAAAAAGTGAGGGATCACTATCCCTGGAAAAAGACGAAGACTAATGGTTTTTAAAACCTGGTGATCACAAGATGATTTACAGACAGAAGCACCATCCTTCGTTCGACACCAGGAACTTCCGCAGACGATCAAAGCGGCGGTAGTCGCACAACCAAATGGCTCTCGTAAGAAGTCTGGAAGTTTGGTATTTGCGTAGGACTTGTTGCCACCGCTAGGGAATAGAAACTTGGATGTCTTTCTGGAGACTGATGTGATGAGTGGATAAAGCCTCCAAGAAGGGAGATTTTTGAGTTTCTTCGAACTCACTCATGTGAAATGCCAAGAATTTGTGCAAAGACGGGGATTTACTTTTAGGAGTCAGGAGTGAAGAATTTCGATTATTTCGTTACTAACGTCACATGCGGGAAGTATGTATGTACGTACATATCGCGAGTGGGTCATTGTAGTGGGTCCTTCGAAGTTTAGGTAAGGTTTCGATTACTTAATCAGCCATACACCAAGGAGAACGGTGCTAGGATTATTCCGATTAATCAAATGTGGGGATCTTACAGACAAGGATGTTGATCTCACTGCCGCAAAAACCCCAAAGAATGATTTTTTTTCTCAAGTCACCCTCAAGCTAATAAAAAACCGACATCTTAACCCAATTGTCGGGAGCTCACAAGACCTGGGAAGCTAGGTAGCATCCATCGTCACCTCGCATACCGTCTGACAATTTCTTCATTTTGCCGACGACAGCAAACATTTCAATCTTCACTTTAGACTCGGCCGAGTTTACTGTCGTCATTTCTTATCAAAGACGAGGCGAAAGACGTCAGTTTGCCCACAGCCCGCACATCCCACAGCCTGCATCCCACGACACCACATTCCACAATGGCCCTCAACATCGAATCGCTGCCAACGCAGCCGCCGCAATTGCAGTCGCAATCGCAATCGCCCTTGGGTTTTTTAACAGCCAACCCTTTAGCTAACGCTATTTCCGATGTATACAATTCATTCTCTGAGCGACGAGCCAAGCTCGGCCTGTCAAACCCCGGTACCGTCGAGACGATCGCAAAGGAGGTCCAGCGTGAAGTTTCCCTCAACAACTACATGCATTCAGGTATAAGAGCAGACCTTACGAAGGTTGTCGGCCTGTCGCCGCTGTTCCAGGTTTCCCATCAATTCGCGATGGGCGAGCACCAGAATCCCTATGCCTTTGCAGGAATTTTTGGTACCAACAAGGTCTGTTTATTCATATAAAATCTATTGACTGCGCCAAACGAGCGTCGTGTTGACACATGTCTCTCTACTCTGTAGGTGTTCCTCCAAGGAAGCGTGGACAACACTGGATTACTATCGACGAGATTCAACTACCGATGGAATTCGTCACTAGTCACCAAATCTCAGTTCCAAATAGGCGCTCAGGATATGGCCTCAATCGAGCATGAGTATACTGGAAGCGACTTCACTTCTTCTGTTAAGATGTTAAACCCTTCTTATCTCGAGGGCGGATTGACGGGTATTTACATTCTTAGCCATCTTCAGTCCGTTACCCGCAAACTCGCTCTTGGTATCGAGGCGGTCTGGCAACGAGCTGCCCTGAGTCAACCGCCCGAGTCTGCCTTGTCGTACTGCGCGAAGTACAAGTCCGATGATTGGATTGCGACTGCCCAGCTTCATGCGCAGGGCGCTTTGAATGCGACATACTGGCGAAGATTGTCGGACAAGGTTCAGGCTGGCGTTGACATGACTCTTCAAGTCGCTCCTGGCCCTGGGGGCGTAATGGGAGGTGGCCTGCAGAAAGAAGGCGTGACATCTGTCGGTGTCAAGTACGACTTCCGCATGTCAACATTCCGAGCCCAGCTCGACTCCAAAGGAAAGTTGGGCTGCATACTGGAAAAGCGCGTGGCACCACCCGTCATGATGTCTTTTTGCGCCGATGTAGATCACTACACTGTAAGTCTGCTGGGAGGTCTGACTCTGGAATCTCTTTTCTAACTTCATTTCTAGCGAAATGCCAAGGTTGGTCTCGGAATTACTATCGAGAGTGGTGGCGACGAACTGCAGGAGCAACAAGAAGCTCTTGGCCCTCAGGCGTCACCTAACATCCCCTTTTAAGTCTCCACTTCTGTCATATTTGGATGACTTTTTCAGCATAGAAGCTCCCCCCTCTCACCATCGACCCCTTAATACACGATCTCAGTAATCCGGCTCCAGACCCCCATCAATAGTTGCGGGACTGGTGTGCTGGAGACCTCATGCAGCATCGACTATTTCATCACCCCTTGTCTTAATAAGCATATTCACTGCTTTTATATGCGATGCAGAAGTCGCTAGGTGGGTTGGATGCTGCATCAAAATTCACGACTATAGACTTTCTTTTCGCACCGGTCACGAGTTATTCAACAAGTCCTGGTATCGAGCTCGGATGAGGCCGAGCATCGTCCATCTTAAAAGGAGTACTAGGTGGCAACGCGCGAAAAAAGTGTACAATTAGGATTATGGCCACTACAAAGGCACCACGAATGCATTGGTGGTATTATACGTGATGAATGGATGATGGGAGTGTGGCATGGTCATCAACGATACTTCGAGATGCCTTTCGGAGAGGCGCTTGTAATTGTATTTGGGTACTGTATATAGTAACCCATACAGTGTATAAAACAATATGACCAGTGACCAGGCTTCTCCGAACGGATTTGAAGGACTTGGCAGAAAGAGGTGAGTACAATTCGGGAATTTAGGCGAGCTAATAATGTATATCAATAATAGCCACCATCGTCATATTTAATAGGTACCTAGGGAGGACGCTTCGGACTTCGGGCTGTTAATATCCTAAAACCATCCCGTATTTAATAGCCCCCTACGTCAACTTGGCTCGGCTTAAACACCCGATAGAAAATGCACAATTCAAGATTCTCTAGGATCATTCAATATTCTAACAAGGTTCTAGCAACATAAAAGAAATCTACCCAGTTCCGCCAAACTGTATGCATCCATTCTTGCGAAGTATCCGTTTATAGTCTATAGTATAAGTCAACCAAACTCCCAAAGCAGAGATAAACATGTCAATTATCCTGTACATCCAGTCCACAAGATACTCTTCTATCCGACTTCCGAACTTCAACCCGCTACCGTTTGGGCTTCAAGATATATATTGATTGGAGTTTCCCGTATTTGCGGAATAGTTTGCCTTTCACCCCAAGTGCTTCGAGATTGAGTCGAGCAATGAAATACCCTTCTCTTGGTACCTCTCCTAGTGTCTCTCCTAGCGTCTGCGTCCAAACTTCCTCTCCATTCATGTCGATAAAGAGATCCCAGCAACCACAACACCCTTTTTGAGGCTCTTGAAGAAGTAACGTCCAATACTCATTTGAATCTCGAAATATCGGTCAGCGCGGTTTCTTCTTGAATGGCGATTCAGTTACCATTTCGGGTATGACTGGCTTTTTTGATACTAACATCGGCTGAGCGAGGATTGTAGATCAATATCCGGTTCCCTAGTCGTAAACATGGAGCTCCAATTGCCATGCTTCAAGAGAAATGGTGAACGGCCTTGACCCGCCTTGACGTAGCTGAACTGAACCCCGACGGTCATTAGAGTGGAATTGGTATAGTTTTTAGCTTGTATTGGTATGTTATGCTAGCTTGTATCTGTTATAATGGAAGAGCCTTATAATAGTCTGGAAGCGTAAATTTTGTGAGAGGGAGTCGTAGGATAAAGGTCAAAGCCCCAATTTCGAAACTGTCTTCGACTTATATACAGGTAGTTCGGCGAAATATCCCCTAACAGTAGGCTCTAGGGCTTCTTGTAAACCCAATGAATCATCAGACAGCCACCACTCAGGCTACACAACAGGAGGGGAGGGGAGGCATATCCCACATCGCAGCCACACCCACACATAATCTCGATTGGTAAGGCTTTTTAGTCACTTCGGACAATTTTTGAGTCATTTGAATTAGGCTCAGCCGTCGTAAAATGCCTCTCATTTATGAACTTTCGAAGTGGAATCAAGGTCAGTACTAGGCAGCAATTCGTGAGACGATATATTATATTACAATGTCAGGCTCTCTAGGTACCTATATCTCGGTGAGTTAAAGTCTAGCTTGTTATCTCGCTTCGTATATGATCACTAATTTTATTGTTACGGAGTCTCACGGTGGTGAACTTGATCATTCTCCAGGGCTCTGCCACAGCTGAAGGCTGACTCCTAAAGTCAGCGAAAAGACGACAATATACCTAGGACTTTTAACGCCTTATATTAATCAGATATAACTACATAGCCTTCCAGTTTCTGAAAGGTCCATAAAAATATCACTTTAATTTTCACTTAATGGCGCATAGGTATTCTGTCCTCATGAATATGATCGCAGAATTTCCGCAACGAAGATCTCACTGGGGCTTGGCACAATTGTGAAATCCGCCAATGCAATGTCCCAGTAACAACATCGTCACTACATATTATTTAAAAGTTTTACCACCAATAAGGCACGGTTAGTCTGAGATATTACAACACCACGTATGCTTAACAAGACGTCGGTACATGGGACTGCTTCCAGCACCCATGTACCTTCTCAGGATAGTTGGTTGAAGAAGAATGTTCTAACATTCGGTCTGTTTGTCTGTTGTTTACCTCTTATTATTACCACTTACTTACAAATTGACTAGACGGGGGAGGCGTGAGAGGCTTCTATAGTCTACTTTTCATGCAAAGATTAATGCAATTTATTGCATCTGAGGAAAAAGACAGGGGTCTGATCAGCTTAGTTTCTAGAGAACCCCTAGGAACAAGAGAGAAACGAGTGACCAGTTTTTCTCCTTGTTGTGAGCCGCGCAATCTATCACACCGAGATGGTAATGAAGATGGCTACACTCCCTTCTTGCCATGCCATTATTTCGACTACATTGGTGGAACATCAACAGGGGGGTAAGTTTCTCATCCAGTTAAAACTGATAATTCACTGACTTATTCTCTTCGTAAGGCTAATTGCGATTATGTTGGGGCGTTTCAGAATGACCGTCGAAGACTGCATTGATGAATACACTCATCTCGCAGGGGACGTATTCGGACATCCTCGTCACCTTCATGATATGAACACATACGGTCTCATCAAGCGCTGCAAGTACGATACTAAAAGATTCGAGGCTGTGATCAAAGACGTGATCGTCCGAAGAGTAGAAAGCGGGAGGAATGATCTTTCAAACGCTCTATTCGACACAGAGCTTGGTCTCTGTCGGGTGTGAGCTTCAGCTATAGCACGTACGCGTTAGCCGCTACTAACATAGTAGCAGACTTGTTATTGCAAACAGAATTGCTTCTGAAGGTGTGGTTACCGACCTCAGACTTTTCCGGTCATATGAGATCAATAACCACCAAAAGCCAGAACGCCGACCAACGCAGCTCCTCTTCCCGAAGGATCCGAGAGACGAACATGGCGGAAGATCGGGGGATCTTTCAGTATGGCAGGTAGCACGAGCGACCACTGCTGCACCCCTATATTTTGAGCCTATGGAAATATTAACAGATGGCAATCCGAGGCAGGTGAGAACCAATTCATGGCCCAAGAAGTACGACAGCAGTCCGAAACCCTACCGGGAAAGACTCGAGGATGGAGGTCTAGGCCATGCGAATAACCCATCTAAAGTGATGTACGACGAATTGACAGATAATCTTCCCAATAACATGAGTATTGGAACTTTTGTGAGCATCGGGACTGCTCGACCGATGGAGCAACCAACCGGTCCACGACTATTCCGTATAATCAAAGGAAGCATATCACGCCTCGGAAACCCAGAACACATACACAACCAAATGAAAAACATTGTATCGAAGAACCAATCTTTTTCTTATTACCGTCTGAACCAGCCCAACGGCCTTTCCGGGATTGAAATGGACGACTGGGATCCTAAGCCTTCGGGCAAAGATACGATGAAGATGATGAAATCTACGTTTGATGCCTATATTGGCAGTACAGAAATGGTACGTTATATGCAGAGATGCGCAAAAGAGTTAGTCACAGCAAGACGGGCTAGGGCCGAAGCGAATCTGCCCAAGTGGGAAAGATTCGCCGTAGGCAGGCATTTTTATTGCAGAATCCCAAACTGTCCGGATGACGAGGTCCGTCGCGAGATCGACGAAGTTAAGTTCATTGCCCACTTGAAAGACGGACATAATATGAGAGATGATGATATCCAGGCAGCCCTGAGGGAGTGCGAAGGTCAGTGGGCATACCGAGGACGTTAATATATTGGAAAAGGGGCGCAGCATTGTACAAACTTACCTCCCCATCAAGCAGGCTGGCGTTATTTTCAGCGTACTTCTTATACGTGCTTTAACACTCTAGAGCTTCGGCGATACTGCAAAGGCGATCGTTGTTTCCAGTCCTATTTACCTACCTACTAGGTAGGTAGATAGTAGATTCGATAATTACACAACTAAAGCAGAAAAAATATGCTTCAAGTTTCACAAACTGTGCAAATTGTTTCTTCCTTTTGTAGACGAGCATTCTAGAAACGCACACTTCCAAGCCTAGAAGATGATTCACATGTAAGAAATATGGCAAGTCCATGGTGTGGTGTGACAATGCATACAGGGTGACATTAGGAAGGGGGGTGGGATTACCTGAGCCTCACTCGAAGAGCCATGAGCACCTACCCAGGTATATATTTGACCGGCTGCAGCCTGACCTTGCAGACAACTAAATCAACTTGATAGATACATCTTTCAAGTGTTCCTCTAATTATCTTTAACATACTACGAAGCACGATATGATACGAATACGGTCTGCGTCTGGTAAGACAGCCTCATTACTAGGCCATGTCGTTATGAACTTGGGTACACTCCCATACTATCGGTTCTTTCGACAGAACACACTGCTGCCAATATTATCTATAGCAGAGAGTGCGAGGCTGCAAACGAGCGATGTCGAGCTCTCCGCGATGCTATCGAGCTGGCGAGACCGGAAGCTATACGAGCTTTACTTTGTCCAGGTCGCTGTAGGTTCTTGTTTTCTGCTAGCTTCATATAACCCGCTATCTTTTACCCATTTCCCACGTGTCTGTCTCCCTTTCGAGAAGGCCATTCCTAGAAATGAAAGGCATTCGTCGCATGATTGTTATTCCCAACTAATACGAAGACAACACGGTATAAGAGTACACTTCTCTCTGCAGCTGTAATCGGGTGCTTCTCCTGGGAACCACATGGATCGGAACACTGGCTCGGCCCAGCAGCACGATATTTCTCTTTGGTGCTATCGCTCTTCGCAATCTTACTCTCGGCATCACAGTCCTTCATTTTCATTACCATGAATCGAAAACACCCACAGCACGAGTCGCAAACGGCTAGTCAAATATCCCGCTCATCCGCAAAGGTTGACATCGCTATGATTTGCGATATCAAGTTGACATCCAAGCCCATACCCCTGAAACGAGAAGCCGCGCGTAGAAACCGAGTTAATGAACACGGTGAAAACGATCTGGAGAAGGGGAAGGGGACGCTTTCAGGTCTCACTCTCACACCTCACGACGTCGAGGTTAGCATTCGATGGAATATGGTTTTCACATGGCAGGCGCCTATCATGCTCCTAGCATACTCCGTTATGGCATTCCTCGTGGGTATGACCGTATACGTTTGCGCGCCGCTATATAGTGAGGGGATGCGTGGGAAGGAAGTATGCTTACCACACTTGATAAGAATGTTCTTGAGCTCAAACGATTATAGGCAGCCATACTTTATTTAATCAGTCTCGGAATTGGTGGATTCTGCTTCGTGGTATGTACATGCCCCCGCACCCCTCCCCCTATACCCCTTTTCTTTAACCCCTATCCAATCAAACATCATTCTCTAAGCACCCCTTTACTCTGAATACCTTTTAAAAGAGGTTCTGACATTGTAATCATTTAGTGGTGCTCCTTTTGGGCGTATAGATTTGTGGATTTGGATTAACCAAGAGGCATTATTTATTATTTATTATTTATCCAATAGTAACCATCCATCATCCCACGAAGCATCAGATGTCCAACTCCATCGTCGGGGAAACATGATCACCCAGTCTATAAGATATCAATCTTTAGCCCAGCAATCCCGTTCAATATTCTTCATACATGTAGATAAAAAGAAACACTTTTCAGATCGCATACGCGACACGGAGATGATTCAAGACATAAGCAACTTGAAGCTTCCCGCAGCCCCTAAAGTATCTGGCTCTTGCTCCAAGACTGTGTAGATTCAATCGGGCGATAAACTGCCCTTCCCTCCGCCTATTTTCTGGCGTCTGTGCCCACATACGATCCCCAGCTTCGTTGGCGTAGAAATCCCAGTAGTCAGAATCGCCATCGATACGGACGGTCCAATATTCTCGTGGATCTACTTGGGTTAGTATATCTTCTTTTGGCACGATAAGGTATGGGTCTCTACCAAGTGATACCTGGCTGATCCTTTTTATAATAATGCGACGACTCGTAAAATCGCATATTAATGCTCGGTCCTCTTGGTATATGCGGGGAGCTGTATTCGACATGCTTGAGGAGGAACGGCGCGATTATACGTAGGCAGGCGATGTTTCGGAATGGTATCAGGTATGCCGACAGCGTACCTGAGCAATATATATAAGAAGTAAGTTGATAATGATAGGGAAGAGCAAGCCGCCTTTGTTCAGATATTATCAAATCTACAGTTTCGAATGGAAATAGAGGAATCGTTTTGGAAACAATATTGTTAAATATTTTAAACCCCCCTACTAATTGTTAAGGAGAAAGCCGAATCATCCTAGAAGCAGCCATGGATAAGTGATGGGTGCAATTTATCTTCCTACACTACAAGTCATCTCTTGTAGCCCCTTGGTTCTAGAGTCACGTCAAGACAGTTGCTCCGGTTCGATCTTTACGTCTAATACAGACGATTAATACTCTTCGGGCATATACTTGGTCAACTGAGGCCTGGTGTCGCGAGCCATTTCGTACGATCATGGAGGATTGTCATATCCCGTCGTAGCATGAAATTATTTTAACCTATCAGCTATCGATATTTCTACATAAACCTGTAGGAGGGGTTCTAGTTACTGTGAAAGCTGTTTCTATGAGAAAGTTAAGTATGCGTGTACAGTCACGGAGCATGACTAAGGAAAAGGACGTTAAGAGCGATTTCTAGGAATATGATTGCTCGTCCCCTAACTTTCTCCTTCAGTAAGTACGTAAGCATAGGACTTCGGCATCATGACAAATTTTGGACCCCTAGCGACAAAGGTAATTACGAGTACCTATTGGTGTTTGAGCTTGGCGAAATCCCATCCCGTCCTCGGCATGGCCTGTATCGTATAAAGATCGCCTCACGGCTCCGTATAGCCGGCAGTTGAACATTTACCCCGATGATCATCACCTTGACGCGGCTCTTTTCGGGAATTATCTCTTTCTCGGACCATATCTCAAACATCAAGCTGGGAGGTAACGTAGCATGCATTTTTATGCTCACTTATTTGCGCTACTGTTTACTAAAGACCTAGGTAGCTGTTAAAAGTGAAATATTACCTACATACATATCAACTTGAAATTATCCTCACCTACACGGCTTGAGGCAGTCCATAGTTTTGAATCTTTAATCATTGCCATCTATGTTTAGATCCTAATAGTTCAGTTGCATCAGCACACGTCATCATCAAGTATCCTTCGTGAATAAGAAAGGACAGAAAGAGGATGCACATTGAAGTAAAAACAAATACGTAATGAATCGCCAGGTCGCTTCTTCATAGTGTTGCAATATCCCATCGGAATTTACCCACGAAGATCGACGCCGCGCAACTAATCCCCTCTGAAGTGTGAATGATCATTGATAAGTGGTCTGACTTTCTAGCATGGGGGAATTTCCACGTGCCCTTATGACAGCTGATCAGGAACCAACAAACACGTATCGTATACTCACCTACGATCAACGATGGGCTCCCATGTGCCTGAAAGATGACAATTTATGTCTCTGGAACATGTAGCCTTTTCCCACTACCACATGTGGATAGCTTAGTAGCAACTTCTTCATAGAGGGTATATAAGTACTCTTCCTCTAGTTGACCTGGAATCTCGAGAACCCAGCCACAGCTTATGCATCTTTTCACGACCCCACCCACTTCTGTAAAGACTAAGGGTAAAATTTCGAAGGCGATGGAGTCAAAGCTTTTTGTAGCGACCATTATCTTGGCTACAGGTGCTCAAAGCATGGTGCTTCCGGATGGTACACTTCAGCTTGCTCCTCTGGATGCCCACGCTGCAGAATGGGTGAGCCATGGTGATCTTCGTGTGTAAAAGAGATGCTAATGGTAAAATGATAGGGACCAGATCTCGCCAGCGCCTATCGTCGCGATGAGCCCAAGGATGAGCCGCCAGAGTCTCCGAGGCAGGAGGAGAAACCGACCATCTAGATACCAAGAATGAATAAAGAATCACGTCGAGTTTTAGGTATCCGTTATGAAAAATGGGATCGGAACAACTTCGAATTTAGAGGAGCTCGCATCTATCGGCGGGTTGGGCGGGACGGGTGACATAACCGGTTTGAGAGGACGAAGGTACCAAGTCGAATTATTTTCACAAATAATTTTGCCGCATATTCTATGAATGGGAATTAGATAATATATATTTCAATGCCATCTCCCTTTCATCTGACTTCGGCTTCATTATTCTTGGTGAATAGGGGTAATAAAAAAGGTGTCAGAGATGAGATTGAAGAAAAGGGGGTGTCAAGAAATATGATAAAGCTGTCCTTGTTGATAAGATACACGATAAGGAAATTATCGATAAGGAATTATTGATAAGGAGTCCTCACGGTGCTCCAAAACGTGGCCTCACATCCATGGATCTATTATCTGACCTTACATACTCTGTACACAACAATGGGAATGAAGACGGACGAGGACAATCGTAACAATTGATTCATAAATAGGCGACGGCATTTTAAAGATTTGGGTATATGCGGCCAACCGGAATCTAAATAATATCTGCCCCCGAAATCCGGGGTTCTAATCCAGATCGCGATGTACAACGCCCTAACCCGGATACAAAATGTATTCGGCTTCTTCACCACCGTCGCCTTCGTCGTCGCCGCCCTAATCGCCGCCTCCGACTTCGCCGCGCCGCGAGCCCCAAGCGCAACCATAAAACCGACCAACGTCCAAGTGTAAGGACGCCTCCAACACCAACGCAAAATGCATAAACGAAAGACGGAATAGAACAGACAGCTAATCCGCGAAAACAGTGTCAAAGGTCGACCACACTACTACAGCACAAAGAAGGAAGAATACGCTATAATCAAGTTCTCGCTCGACGCCGACCTCTCCTCGCTATTTACCTGGAACACCAAGCAGCTCTTCGTCTACGTAACAGCCGAATGGCCCGCGGCCGCCACGAACCAGACCAACCGCGCCGTCATCTGGGACTCCATCATCACAAGCCCGAGCGCCGACCACCTAAGCAACCTAGGTCCCGCATCTCTGAAGAAGCTGCGCAAGAGCGCCGCAGGCAAGAGCATAGATCCGAACCGGTACATCCCTCCCTTCCTCCCACGTCAACCCCCTCCTCCCCCCACAAAAAAATAGAAAGAAGAACTGTTAAGCTAACGAACCGTCTATCTATCCAGCGGCAAACTCACCCTCAAGAACCAAAAGCCCAAATACCAAATCACGCACCCGACGGGCCGAATCGCCTCGACCGACGACGTCAAGCTGCACGTGAACTACAACGTGCAGCCGTGGGTCGGCGCGCTGACCTGGAACCAGAACACCGACCTGGGTCTATGGAAGAAGTTCGGCGGCGGCATCAGCAAGGCCTTTGAGCTGCCTGCGCTTAAGAAGAAGGACGACGGTAAGAAGTCGAAGTAGGGGGACACGTACTTTTTTTGAGCTAGCTAGATAGCTAGGTGGTGTTTTATGAAACGAGAATTTGACAATGATGTTTTGGTTCTACATTGTGGAAATCGACTGCTGCCTACTAATTGATTTAGCATAACTCATTCGAGCTATCTACGATAAGCACTACCCTCTACACATGTCACGGTCAATCTAGAGAAATTTACGAGGGTCAAGTAGACGTTTCATTATGCTTTATTCATTCGCTCACTTATTGTGATCGCGCCGTGCTCGCGGGCAAAAGCCGCAATTCGGCTCTCCGCAAGGGGTATATGGGGCGACACACTTTTGAAAACCCAGACCGCGGACGCCGTTCCCATGCAGATATGTACGAGGCCAAATATGATGCCTCCCGCATAAACTCCATCCCCATATTTCCCATACCGAACTTTAAGAGAATAAACACACGATAAATTACGTGTGTATCATTTAGTCAGACAGATCAACGACGATGCGTGACTGATCTGGCTCTTGGTGTAGTTTAGCTGATGCCATCCTATCGGCGGGCCGGCGACCCGCAAAGTAGGGACTAGTCGTAGGTGTTTCCTCTTGATCTCGACCTTTACTAGCTGGCCTTTGTCTTTCCTTGACAAGATCATCAAGTATCTCCACTGTTGAATAGGGGGCCTTATGATTCGTAGGGCCGCGCGTGAGATCTTGTCTCTGCTCTGGGGAGGCTGTTGAATCGACAACGAAGATAGGCCTTGTTGGCGAAGAATCGCCAGAAGAACCAGGAAGCGGTGAGACAAACTTTGGAAGTTTGGTTTGTTTAGGCGTTTCACTTTCAGCTACGGTCGAGGAGCCCCTTGTATTTGACCTGCTCACAGCTGGAGACTGAGGAAACGAACCAGGCATATGGAGGTCCTCGTTCACCTCAGATACGGACTTACTTTTGAAATCGGACGTATTAGGGGTAGGTGATCTCGGTTTTGGTTTGGCGATGGCTTCGTTATCTTTGGGGATGGCATGATCCTCTAGATGTTCAGACAGGCTTTGGTCAACGATTGGCTTCTTTCCAGGCGGCGCACTCTGCTGGTCTATGGCTGGGCTCTTCTTTTTCGGCCCGTTTTTGTTGCGTTTCTCTTCCCTGTGTGCATCTTCTCGGTCTTGCTGCTCCTTCTGAAGCTTGAAAATCAAATCCCTAATTTCGTTGCGGATCTGTGATGGATTAAGGTCCCAGGGAATATCGTTCTCGTGTTGAAGAAGGCTATGAACGAATGTGTCCGGATCCTTTAAGAATTGCTGTATGTATCCTAGCAAAAAGGGCCCGCAGTCGCAATGATTTGTTTGCTGGGGGACGTTCTTAGCTGTCATACCCAAGGCCCCAGGAGTTGAAATCTCTATGCCTTTCTTGTCCTTGAGCTCTGCAATTAAATACTGCTTAAGACAGCCGCAAGCCGGGGAATGTGTTATCCCTAACGAGTCGAGCGTGATGATCCTTGGTTGGGTCGGGTCGTATTTTCGAGCATTTCGAGGACCTATACTTTGTCTTTTATTGGGCTTCTTTTGTCGGAGGGAATCGTTAGGAAGGGAATCTTGATCTGCATCTGCTTTAGGGCTGTTCTTCCCTTTGACTAATTCGACGTCTTGTTCGTTTCCGCTCGATTGCGCCTCTTCCTTCTGCTCTTCTGGTTCTATGACTATTATCTGCTTAGTCTCGGTATCTAGGGGACCTGGGCTTTTGATTGACATACGACTTAAGTGATTGGTTATATCGTTCTGTGCTGCAGAGATGACGGCTTCTATATTCGTAGGCTCAATCAAATTCCCGTCCTCGGGTAGAGCAGTGGATACGTCTCCAGAATTATGGCTATCTTCTTCGATGGTGATCGTATCCGTAGATTGGGCGTCGGAGACCTCCTTATCGGCGGATGGGAGGAGTTTTGGCGCATTGTAGATTATCGCAACATACCAATGGGTATACTCGTTAATTGGGACAATGATATAATCCTTCGTAAAGAGATCGACCTTGGAAGTCCACGCTTTGACGCTATCATAGTTGATTCCCTGGCTCGTTCTCGAAGACTTGAGTTTTGAGTAGAAAAATGTATTCTGGAAATAAATCCTCTGAGCCAAGTCTGGCCTCTCCGCCTCCAGTGAATGTTGGAGATAGCGTAGATAGAAAGCAAGTACATTATCATTTAGAAACTGACCCTCGTCTAACCGAGGGATGTCCTCCTTGTCGACTGTGGCTCGGTTCTTACCATGGGTAGGGAACACCAGAGAGTTACGCCAGTTTTTCTCCCAACCTTCGTTCAGAACCGTCCAACCTTCGGGCTCAGGTGGCTCGGACGCTGAAGAGGGGGATTTCAATGCGAACGTGGATCGGGTCGTCCGTACCGGTCGCTGAGCAGGGGATGCAACGGAGCTGTGTGGTATGATTGTTACTTCGACGTTTGATGGGGCCGTGGTGCCATAAGGCCTCATTAAGTCTTTCGTCTTCACAGGCTGATTATTAGAAATATGCGGCCGGCTGGCGAACTTCGCCTGCCTCGCACGATCCTGCGTATTATGCTGGATGAGTTTAATGTCATCTCCCACTGGCTCCTGATCCGTAATAACCGTACTTCTTTCTGCTTTGCTCATCAGATTTAAAAACTCTTTGTCAACCTTCTCCCTGCAGATTTCGTGAGTAAATAATATTGAATAGAGAAGGACCAAAACCTACCGGTCCCCAAAGATGGAAAGTTTAAGCTGTAATCCATCTTCGCTGCCCATTTCCATCCATTCTTTAAAGTGTTGGATGTCTTCAGAGGTTTTAAACTCAATCATCAACTTAGGACTGGCACTTGTCGCAGCATCAAGAGAACGACTTATTGAGACCACATGATAATCCGGGTTGGATGGGATGTGAACCGATAATATCTTCTTCATGTTGATGGTCAAATATGAGTATTGTTTCAAGATGTCGCCGTCTAGATTCGTCGGGTGAAGGATGTGGCTCATATCCCGCAACTTTAGAAAGCATTCGTCCACACTACTAGTCTTATGCACTTCATATTTGTAGCGGCCTGAGACAGCCCGTACGATGAGAAGCCTTGAGCCAATAATTTCCTTGGCATTTTCCAAGGTCAACTTGTTAGCCGTCCCCTTTGTGATATTCGGTCTAGCATTAGACAACGATGAGAATTTGGTGGGTGCAATGTCGCCTCTCTTAGATAAACTTGGCGAGGGAGTAACAGGTCGTTTTGTTAGCACTTTGCCCCTCATGTCTTGCGCTTCCGGTGCCAGTTCGTCTGGGCTTGAATCCATACTCTTGAGTTTACCGTTCCTCCACTCTGGAATCTTCCGTTCCGTATTTTCTATAATCTTGCCCAGTCTCGTAGCGGCGGTAGTTGATTGATTAACCCTGGCAGCCCCTTTACCACGATCTCCAAAGCGTGATGCAAACGCTGTAATAGGCTGTGAGTCTTCCTCCCGAGTCGGACCCTGTGTGCGCGTATGTGCGTTTTTTGCTTGCTCAGGTGCCTCAATACACTCTACATCTCCATCACTATCCATATCACGCTCTTCATGATCTTCAATAAAAATCCTATCGGCAGACTCGGACCGATCACGTCGAACCCTTTTTCTTGATGGCGCTTTGATGAAATTTTCGACACTTCGATATTCGGAGATATGCGGTTGGGTTAGATGGATCCCTTTACTATTAGATGGTTGTGATCTAAATGTCTGCTGGGAGTCGCTGGTGTTGTCTAACGAGCGTTTGCGGGGGGCGTGCTTGTCGGGGGTCGCATCACGATCCAGCACAATGGCGAAGTGAGACTGTGTGTGTGCAAAACTATCTTCGATCTTTGGACGTTTTGCAGGCGGCGGTGGGCTTGAAGGATGTGGTGGCGATGATCGTACAAGGCGCGACGAAGGTTGATTTCTTCCGTTGAGATTGTTTGTAGGCACAACTGCACCCAGACCGTTCATCCTCCCCTTCTGTAAGAACGTAAGAACAGATTAGTAGTTAGTCCGGAGGGCATTGTCACTACCATAACTTACAAAATGGCTACTCATGTTGCGAGCACCTTTTTCGTGACTTCGGCTGATTATGTTCGGCTAAGAGTAATCGGTCGTCGCGCTGTTCGAACCTCCCCGGCGATTTCGGAAGGAATGTCAGGTGAGGTTGGATCTGTGAAGGACGTGTGCCTTTGATTAAAAAGTCAGCCACGATGGGACATAAAGCGCCTTATGGAACCCACCAGTCGACATGCTTGACCTTAGGCTCCTCTCGTTTTCGTAGCATGTAGGTATGCTATTATAACCCGGCCTATGCGCATAGGCATTACTTTATGGTGTGGGCGCAAACAAAAGAACTTTAGCTGCAGAAGTCGGCCGCAAAGAAGTAAGTAAAACAAGGTTTTGAGGAAAAAAGCGTGATGCGTAATATGGTCTACAAATATTTCTGCAACTCACGAAAAGAAATTATAGTGGATAGTTCAGAGCGCGATTTCGACTTTCACAGATTTAAGACAAAAAAAAAAGTAGAGCGGCGGGGTTGCTAATACGCACTTGGAATGATTCGTGATCCACGCCTTCCTTTAGTAAGGTATGCACCTAATAATTCGTACCCCGATGGAGTTTTGAAGCAGTTGCGGCTGCCGGCAGCAGTACCTAGGTACCTATAGCCTTGCATTCAATTTACGCGGTTGACGCGCTACAACCCGCCCTAGACATCGCTAGAATTTATGTGGAGCTATTAGATGGGTCTGCTAAGGCAATTACGGTATTAACTGCTAGGTACCTACCCACCGCCTAACCTAGTACCTGAACAACTCATTACAGGTGCCCATCCGAGTGCATTATGGATGAGAAGTAGCAACCCCCTAGGAAATCGAATGTACTTACCAGTGCTGGCTACACGTTAATTATATTACTCATTCAAACCATTTCTATAATGATGGCGTATACATATTAGCCTCAGTCACTGATAGATATTGTTTCCCTATTAATCCAAGTTCATCTACCTAGTAATCTACCTATTAAACCCTACAATGCGTGTCTAGGTACCCAGTATATAATATCGCTCATATGCATGCGAAATAACCATCTCTAGTCGTCATCAGTCTTAACGTCATTAAAAGTTTCCTCATAACCTCTCGTGGATATTCAATACAGAGAAAAGCTAAGGACTATATCCTCGGGTTTGCCGTGACCGTTGGGGTAGACGCCGAAGAGACAGCAACTAGTTGGTAAAGCTCAAGCCTAAGCGAAGCTCCGCAGTACTCGTAGCGATTCCCACTGCATACCATCGCTTGACAATCGGCATCAGGGGCAACCGTGCTGCCACTATCTAACGTATTGCCACAGTAGCATTCACGTCCGTACTCGGCCCCCCAGTATGTGAAACCGGCACAGTTCGATGCACACATTTCTAGGGTCATAGCATCGTCCGCGTAAGCCGCGCCGGTTAAGGCTCGGCCGTTTGGAAGCTCGGTATAGCAGCCGACCCGGGTGTACGATGATACAGTTGGTTTAGGCGCTAATGTGGCAGTTGGAGTCGGTTGGCTGGCTGTAGTACTGTACAGTTCTAACCTATTGCTATCTCCGCAGTATTCGGTAGAATCTCCGCCACAGACCATGTTGCAATCGGTCACGGGCGCTTCTTCGCTTGTGGAATGAAGCGAATCGCCGCAGTAGCCTGCACGAGATGTTAGTCAACCGTTAACAAGCGCACGGACTTTTGGAAACTTACATTCACGACCATACTCTGTCCCCCAATAAACGTATCCAGTACAGTTGTTCATACAATCTTCTAAAGTCATGCTATCATAAGCGAATGCAGCGCTTCCTAGAGCTCGAGTTCCCCCTACGGTTGATTCTTTCTGGCATCCTACAAGCAAATACTCTCCAATAGTTTGCCTGTGATGCAACGTCTCCGTTGGTGCCGTAGAAGAAGTGCTTGTGCTACTCACTGTGGTAGATGAAGAACTTGAGAGTGTAGATGAAGAAGTCGACGCGGTGCTAATTGAAATAGTCGATGAAGAAGTTCCCGAGGATGAGGTGGTTGACGTTCCAGAGGATGTCGAGATTTGTCCTGTAGTGCACGCGGACGATGGTGGTGGGTTTTGGAAAGCCTGACAAGTGCCTCCTAAGCCACTTGCAGCATTAAAGTCGTCTGCAAGTGCCGAAGTACCACTCCCACTGATGACATCGATCTTGGACGCATACGCAAGATCGCCAAGACCAGTGTAGTTTGCCGTATAAAAGGTATAAGCACCTACACAATTCCCTTCTGCCATAGTTACCGTAGCGTTTTTAAGTGTGGGAACTGGGCGATTAGGATTCCCTGTCGGGGTCTTATACGAAATGAACGTGTTAACGGGAAGAGATTTTCGGTCGTTGCGAACCTAAAAAGCATATTAGCAGTTAACCCTAGCCGAGCATTAGGAGTAATTAACAGCTGCTGTGACGGTAAGAGTGCCGGAAAGGAGGCAACTCTGAGGCTTTTGAATCAAGATTGCATCTTGAATAGGGTACGAATTCCCATTGTTGTCAAAGGTTTTAGTCGTTCCACTAGCCATTGTAAGGCTCAAGGTGAAAGACGAAATACCCGTAGAAGTTGAGATGGCGGTATCTATAGGGAACCACTTGAACATGTTAGATTTGAGTGCCGTACGTAACTACACATGGATCCGTGTACTTACAACAAATTGGTCATCAAATCCTTGAGTCGCCCCCAAGAGAGTTGTCGTATATGCGCAATTCGTGTTCCCGCAGTTGTTGCCGCCGCTTCGATCTTTGTAGTTTAAGGTCAGGCTAGAGACACTATCTCCTGCTAAATCAGTTGTTCGGACGCGAATGAATCCATTCAATTGCATTGTTGATGCACCAGAGTTAAGTGACAATTGCATGTCGACTGGCTTGACGGAATATGGTTGAATAGGGTCCGATAGAACAACGCCGTCAGGCACTGTATCAATCAACTTTTGAAGAACAGTAGCACATATAGTATTGAAATCTGTGGCGCCCGCCATCGCGTTGATTGTTACATTCCCATCATAGTTGAAGACTTTGAAATCCGAGTTTCTAGTAGCCTTAATCGACGGGCCAACCACCATAGGATTAGTCGTATTGCCGGCGATATATTCGGTAACGACTTTATTGTCAAAGACTGCAACGGTCGAATCCAGGGGAACTTCCCCGTTTGACGTAGACCCAACAGGGACTATCTCAGGGAATTCGTTCTCGTGAACACCACCAATGGAATGACCACAAGCAGTAACTTGAATCATCTCAGTCTTGTCAAATCCCATTCGAAGAAACTGTTGTTCGAAAGTGAAGGCAGTGTTCTGGGGTAATGGAACCCCTATTGGACCGCCGGCTAGAGCATCAACCCGGCCACCAGTAACAGGTACCACGGGGCCGCCACAAGATCTAACGGCATAATATACACCCAAAGCTATGAGATCCGCTACACCTGATCGACTTGTGTAGTAGTCTGCCATAAACTTCAGAGTCGTGTTGAAGCCCGGGCCAAGGTTGTCCGAACTTGTCAACTCGTACTGTAAAGAGCCATCCAACCCGCCAGCACGCACACCACCTAAATACGTGGAAGTGGCCATATCATGGAAAGCTGCCCGTAACCATTCTGCAGCATTTTGTCGACCAGGCCCAGAAGCTTCGTTTGAACAAGGAATGACGGTTCCACCAAAATCTCTGGCCCTATAGCCCTTGACTTGGTACATGATTTCTTCGAGCTCGTCATTGGGGGAGGGCCAAGTCGGATCAGCCGTCGCGAGTGTACCGAGGGATAGTAAGGCGCCCCAAAACAGCATACTCCAAGACATCGTGGCGGACGGTATTAATCGATATTAAAAATTAAGGGATAATTGACCAAACATGGAACCAAGAAACGGCTTTCTTGGCCACGAAGGTTTATTAGGATAACAACGCCGTCGAAAGAGACCAACGTAATAATTTAACATAGGAAAATAAATCAGGATATACATACCTATTCATAGGCCAACGAGTAAATACGATAAGAGATATGCAGACCTACACATTGGCTTGGCTCGCTTGCTACGACCATTTACTACCACCCCGTTCCTGACAATCTTTCGACAATTTTTTGCGAGATAGGACAACGAGCCGCCCAGACGCGGTAGCTGCAGAGCCCCTTGCAACGGTTTAATACGAGACCTCGCCGCAATGCAATACTACCTAGGGTAACGCTCGAAAGCGGATTGGTCAATAGCCAGCCTCTTGCGGAAACATCAAGTCGTAAGTTAATCGAATAGCTAAAAGGAGTCATCCACAAAGCATAAGCACAACATGCTTACCTACCATACTTTCGTTTGTAGTGCATCGACCTTCCCAGATTTGTTGTTCGCGCCTGAGCTGAAGGTTTAAAGTCAATAGTCCGATAAGCGAAGCGCCAACGAGGGGCCAACCGTACAGGACGCCAGGAGGCTGGCTGAAAAGAAAATGTTTCGAAGAATATAAGGAATCGAGGTGTTCGGAATTGTCTTCCATCATCTATATGCGATGCTGTTGCAGCGGTAGATTCTTGTAATATCCCATTTCCTTAGGTCAACATCCATGAGCATAACCCTTATGTACATCCAAGTTGTCGGGTCCAAGACCCAAGGACAGGGACTCGACCCGGGAGCTTTGCCTTATCGCGGTACTTAACGGCAAGGTGGCGGGTTCTAAAACTTTCAGATTTAGCCCTGTGAGAACGGCCGTTAGGTACATATTTGTTGTACAGCGTATAGGTACTGTTTGCTCTAGTGTGAGACGCTATCGAATATGAAAAGCGAAAATTTCTGCTTCAACGTTCAGCAGTCCTAAAAGTTCAATCGTGCATGTACCATCGACACGTGCGTTGAGTGGACCAATTCCAAGATCGATGATTGATCAGATGCCCGGTCGTGTCAGGGGTGATTTGCAAAGTCGAGCTTAAGACCCTGGAGCTCTTTCCCCGTAAAGATCTAGAATCTCACTGACGGGAAGAAGCTTCAATTCGGCGCGATTTCAGCCATACAACTTCCTGTCCTGTCCTAGCGCCTCCCATTCTGACAGCACAAACAATTTTAGCGAACAAATGCCATTGCGACTTTTACAAAGCTCGAATACGTAGGGGCTCGTGATATGTAACAGAAAAAAGTATTCATTTGATTGGGACGCATAATAGACCTAATAAATCTCACTGATACATCAATAATAAAGGCAACGCTCCGAAACAGTTGTAAGTTGATAAGGTTCCAGGAATGAGAGGGAAAACGTAAATTGTTGAGCTGCAATAGAAGATTAAGAAGAGCCCTGGAGGATGTGACGTATTCTTTCGTAACCCGTAGTTTTACCGACCAAACCCCACGCCACCTGGCAGGATGCATTATATGAGCAAACCAATCAAAATACGCATGACGAGTGTCTGGTATACAGGACACAATAATTTCCCGCATCCCCACATCAAGCTCAGACGATCAGATTCATGGTTTGAATCCGAATTGGTGTAGTGGCTAACATTTGACGCTCTCATAGCATATGATCCGTCAAGCCCGGGGTTCGATTCCCCGATTCGGAGCTTTCATTTTTGTAGACTTCTCATGCTGACGTGAAGTTATCCATATTCTTTTTTTTTTTTTTTTTTTTTTTTTTTACTTCTCTGTGTGTGGATGGATATGGGTAACTTTGATTAACGTTCTAAGAAATCTTCATTTGACTACTTGATACTATGAATTGAAACAACTTGAAATAGTATTATAACCACGTATGCATATCTGTAGGTGCACAACCTTTTTAGAATTTATATCAATATAGACAGACATCGTGTTCACGCCTGTTCAAATGGATATGGTCTTAAAAATATTTTTATCGATAAGTACAATTTCGAGCTCAACTGTCGTTTAAATGCATGTTATAGAATCGACCACAAAAGCGGGGTCTTCAAAATTCGCTTAGCCCTCGCGCAAACCCACAAAGAAAATTAATTTACTGGTGGAAGTTTTGATTTTCTAACGTTCAACATCACCAAATTTATTCTTGAGACCATCAACCACCAAGCGTCAAGGTAAGGTACGTATGCGAAGATCGAATCGCACCATTTACTATTATCATATTATAATCCCTATTTAGCATTAACCTCTACATTCTTCTTATTCTTAATTGACTAACATCCTCATCCTAGATTTACGACCTTCACGATGGCCTCAAGACCGACTGTCACCATCATCAGCAAGGATGGTACTCCCTCGGGAGCTACCCATCCCATTCCCGCCGTATTCGCCTCCCCCATTCGACCCGATATCGTCCAGCAAGTCCACACTGGAATTGCCAAGAACAAGCGACAGCCGTATGCCGTGAGCGAGAAGGCTGGTCATCAGACCTCAGCTGAATCTTGGGGAACTGGTCAGTAATAATCGCATCATTTTGGCGTAGATAAGGCCCGACCGTGCAATTGCTAATGGTCTTGCCTAGGTCGTGCTGTTGCCCGTATTCCCCGTGTCTCGGGTGGTGGTACTCACCGTGCTGGTCAGGCCGCCTTCGGTAACATGTGCCGTTCCGGTCGCATGTTCGCCCCTACCAAGATCTGGAGAAAGTGGCACATCAAGGTCAACCAGGGCCAGAAGTGAGTTCAAACGTGTCCGGTAGATCTTGAATTGGTAAATTAATGTCTTGAAAAGGCGATTCGCTACTGCCTCTGCCCTTGCCGCTTCCGCCGTTCCCCCTCTATTGCTCGCCCGTGGTCACCAAGTTTCCTCCGTTCCCGAGGTTCCTCTCGTCATTGACTCCGCCGCTTTCGAGGGTGGTGCTGCCGCTAAGACTGCCGGTGCTCTCGCTATCCTGAGCGCTGTTGGCGCCGCTGCCGATATCGAGAAGGCCAAGAAATCGAAGAAGCTCCGTGCTGGTAAGGGTAAGCTAAGAGGCCGCCGCCACCGCCAGCGACGTGGACCTCTGGTCATCTACGACCCCGAGGTCGATGGCAAGGAGCTCGTTACCGGAACCCGCAACCTTCCCGGTGTTGAGACTTGCTCTGTCTTCGCCCTTAACCTTCTCCAGCTTGCCCCTGGTGGTCATCTCGGCCGATTCATCGTCTGGACCTCGGCAGCTTTCAAGGCTCTTGACAAGATCTACGGTACCACCACCAAGCCTTCTGAGTTGAAGAAGGACTTCCTTCTGCCCTCCAACCTGGTTGCCCAGGCCGACTTGAGCCGTCTAATCAACAGCTCCGAAATCCAGAGTGTCCTTGAGGCTCCCAAGGGTGGTCCCCTAACCAAGCGTGCTGGTGTTCAGAAGAACCCTCTACGCAACAAGCAGGTCATGCTGCGCTTCAACCCTTACCACTCCACATTCGTAAAGGACAAGCTCGGCCAGCAGAAGGCAGCCGATGGCAAGCCTCCTAAGGCCCCGAAGTCCTTCCTGGAGGTATTGCGTGAGGATTAGACTAGCTTGGTGAGCAGCGTAGTCTAGCAGGGGGGAAATGGGTGCATCGGTTGTTATATCACGGCGTAATGGATCATAGGGTCTTATGAATCAATGGACATTCTCATTCTGACGCCAGATTTTCCCGCCTAAAGGATAATCCATGGTTTATCATTACTTCGTCGAAAAGTGACCAGTGAAATAGCTTAACATTTTGTAAATTTGCAAGCCGTAGACCTTAATGACTCTTTACACTCTTAATTTACAAGGTATGTATTTATGTTATTGCTACGTGGTTCTCTAGGTTGACTATGGCCCAAACCCAAGAGACAATGTTTTTTTTTTGAAAGTGGAACCAGAATCGTAGTAGGCCGTAGATATTTAAACATTCTACCAGAGCTCGAGAACGGCAATCTTATGAACAACGTCGATCGTAAAATCTTACCATTCATTCCCCTCAAAGATCCACACCTGACGATCAACCCCTGTTTCCGTAGCCCCTAGTATGAAAACTAGCACAAATTCATGAAGCCATCGTCATCTCTCAACAACTCATTGGTCAAGTTAACGATCTCCATGCTTACATCATCGGAACTCGGCTCTTTATGAATGCGATGACCAAGACGACTAAATATAGACGTGAAGACGTGACTCTGATTCATTCTATAAACCGGGATAAAAAAACTGTATACGTGAAGAAAAAAAACGTATAACTCATATATGTATATGTGTATGTGCACCTAGATGGGTCGGTAGGTACCTAGGTATGTACCTATACACAGCATCCTCAAAAAAAAGTTAAAAAAAAACTCCAACATCTTTATCCCGAACGCTATCAACTCCAACAACTCTAACACTCGCCCCCCTTATCCCGACCATGGAGATATATAAAACCGGCGTATATCCGCCACGTTATCGCGAAACCCTCGCCCACCGACTTTTAACATACTCGTTAACACCCCATCCAACTCCCCATATCCACCAACCCCTCCTCCTCATCCCGGGTACTCGCAAGGTTGATCTCGTCAAGAATAGCCTCGATCTCCTTAACATTCTTAACCCTCCAGAACTTCTGCACACCCTCGCTGAAGCGTAGCGAGCAAGCGTCTATCTTGTCCTCGGCCTCGGCAGCGAAGCAGATGCGGAAGTAAGCCCAGGCGCGCTTTTCGCGGATTTCGGGGGTGGCGCTGTAGAGGAGACCGGGGCTGATGAGGACGAGGAAGGGCTTGCGGGTGAGGAAGGCCATGAGGGCCGTGGAGAGGGCGACGCCGTCGATGACGTTGCCGCCGCGGGTGCCGGCTGCTTTCCACAGCGGGTGCGTCTCGAAGCGCAGGTGCAACCAGAGGAACATGCCACCGCGCGGCCAGCGGAAGTCGTAGAGGCGTGTTTTGGTGATCACGCCCCAGTCTGCGTCGGATTCCCGCGTTGGTGTTGATTGCTTCAGCTGGTACGCGTTCTCTTCTAGGATTCGGCACATGCGGTTCATTCGTCGCTCGTACTGGCCCCGTAGCCCCGCTAGCCACCGCACCCACCCGTCCATCTTCCACCCACTGAAGTTCAACTGCTCTTTCTTCGTCTGCTTCGCTGCGAGAGCGGCCAAGGCTTCGGGTTGCGGGCCCATTATCATCTCCGCGATAACAACTTGCGCGAACCCGGACGGCTGCTGTGTGCCTGATTCGCTGACGCGGAGGAGCCGCTCGGCGATCGCTGGGGTTGTCGTGATCCACCCCATGCGGCAGCCGGGCGCGATCGTCTTGGAGAAGGTGTCGAGTCGGACGACTCGGCCGTCTACGTCGACATTAAGGAAAGACGGCGCTAACGAGTCTATGTACTCGTACCCGGACTTGTTGGCGAGGGTATTCGCTGCCTTGGGCTCGGGGATAGGTAAGTTCTTCGCCTTGGCCTCTTCAATCTCGGCCGAGGGATACTGGAGATACCAATATGGGTCATCTTCGACGATGATGACGTCGTATTTGCTGCAGATCGAGTAAAGTTCCTTTCTCCTCTCCAACGACAAAACACCACTTGTGGGATTGTGACCCATCCTAAGGAATAATATTAGCAAGCGCTGATAGGCGCATTTGAGACTTGCATGGAACTCACGTGACGGTATACATCAAGTGTGGCCGTTTTCCCTTTTCGTGATCCCAATTCGCAAGCACATCCTCCAGACTACCGGGTCCATATGGAGCCATTCCTTCTTCGTCCATCTCGATGGGTACAACTTGTACACCTCGGGGTTGCGCCTGGGTGAGCACATTGGAGTACATGAACACTTCGGTCACCAGACCTGGCCGCTCCCGGATATCGTTCTTCCCTTCGACCCAGATGTTTGTGAAGACCTCCAATGTCTTAGACATGCCATCTGTTGAGCCGCATGTGGAAATAACCTCAGGTCCTCCCTCATATGGCACATTCGGGTGTAGGACGTCGCGCGCGAATTGACGGATGAAGGAAAGCAGAGGCAGGTATCCGTCGGCTTGACCATATTGCAGAGCGGTGGCCAGATCTATCTTCTTCCTTGGGTCAGAAGTAGGCGCATCGTGCGGCACTACCACATGGGATGCGGTGGCCTGGTCCGAGATGGACGTATCCGCCAATTGCCAGGATAGCAGGTCGTCGGCACCGGGATAGTTAGGCGACGGTGTCCATCGGTCCGGTCTCGCAGTCTGGGCTTCCAATGTATCGAAAGGGAAGAGTTGGGCGTTCGGAAGACCTGAGACATGACATCGGATTAGCTTCCGGGCTTCCACACAAGTAGGTAAGGGACTGGGACTGATAAGGAAGGCTCACCGCCAGCGAATTGGCCGATATTGGGAATCTGGAAGTATTTGTAGAATTGCTTCATTTTACTAGGAGCCCGCGCCTTGGTGACATCCGAAAAGTGGTGAGACATGTCCTTCGCTAACGGTTTCGCCATATCGGCGACGTTCTCGTTTGATGTTTCCATACTTGACCTTTGATAGACACAACAGCAATGTATCTCGGATATACGATGTATAGATATGTATTGGTGCTACCTAGTACACAATTGTTGGGATACAGTCAACTAAGGTATGTATAAATGTTATAAATATACAATATCGTGAAGAAAGTTTCAGTGAATTGAAGAAGACAAAAACTTGGAAGCTACACCGTACGTGTGTGTCTGTCTGCCTATGTCCTGATTCCGGCTTCCTATGATAGCCCTATCTCATGCTGGAAATGTCGGAATCTCGCCCTAAGATTGGTGACCCTGCACGCCGATTACAAATTCAATAAGGACCTAGAATACCCTAAGCGGTTTTAGGAAGAATTCCGACTCAACCATCCAGGGGTCATCCTACCTTCCTATCTCCGTACCGCATTATGTAACGAAGTTGACCCTAGCCGCTGCCAGATGTAAATCTTGGCAACTCTTTGTACATTTGTACATCCGTACCATGTACCGTACCGCGGGGTCCGTATGCAAGGTACCCCACATCCGATTGATGTCAGTCCTTCCTGCTCAGTGGTCATTTGAATCTACAAAATTTCAGCCCAGATCTTTTCTGATAAGATTTCATCCCTCATCAAAGACGAACACGTGTGTTATATACGAAACACAAAACACCTTTTTAAGGCGTTGGTTACATATTTCTTGTGTTATTATTGAGTCTACAGCGAGTTTTGTACCTCAATTGAGGTTCTACTGCTTTTAGCTGTTGCATCACTTCATGCCGATCTCGCCCCCGAGCCAGATCCCTCCGTAAATTACCCCGTTCCTCGCCAGCGAGCGTTTGTCCGGTCCGGTCGGTAGTTGTAAGAACCCAACGAATATAAGAAATATAAAAAGGGAAACAATCCAACCTAATACATCTATTTGTCTTTGGGAATTTATAGAAGAAGCGTTCAGAGGGTGGACCACTCGTCATGGAGAAGATCACGGACAAGATAGCCGCTCTGCCGGCCGACTCGAGTTATTTCTCGCTCGAATTCTTCCCACCGAAGACCAATATGGGGTTCTCGAATCTACGCGACCGTCTTGATCGAATGGCACGAGCTTTGCGACCCCTATTTGTAAACGTAACATGGGGTGCCGGAGGATCGACCGCTACCAAGTCTCTCGAGCTAGCCGAGATATGTCAGAGAGAACTAAATCTGACAACATGTCTGCATTTGACATGTACAAATATGAGCCGGAAGTTGATCGATGGGGCACTAGAGGATGCGAAGGCATTAGGTATTAGAAACATCCTGGCCTTGAGAGGTGACCCCCCACGAGCCGCGGAATATCAGGATTTAAACGAAAAGCCCGAGGATGCGATAGATGAAACGTTCACGTGGGCGATTGACTTGGTCCGATATATAAGAAAGACTCATGGCGACTATTTCTGTATCGGTGTCGCAACGTATCCCGAAGGACATGCCGATGAGAGCCATCCATTAGGTCAAAGCCTAGAGCATGATCTCCCCTATCTTGTTGACAAGACTCAGGCCGGTGCTGATTTCCTCATGACGCAACTATTCTTCGACACGGATGCGTTCGGCAAGTTTGAGCGAACTCTCAGGGAACACCCGAGCGGTGCCTTCAAGACAATTCCTATCATTCCAGGATTAATGCCTATCCAGAGTTACCAGATGATCAAGAGGACGACGAAGTTAAGTCACGCTAAGATACCCGATGCGATAATGACACGACTTGATGAGGTAAAAAAGGACGATGAGAGGGTCAAGAGTGTTGGTGTGGATATCCTTTGCGAAATCGTCGACAAGGTCAAGGAGCTCACAAGTACAACGCCTGGTCCCAGAGGGTTCCACTTTTATACCCTCAATCTCGAAAAAGCTGTGTCTTTCATCGTCGAGAGGACAAATCTCATACCTCCAAGCACCCCTATATCAGAGGAGGAAGATGCCGTTGTCGAAGATATTACCTCTAGGATTCCAACCCTCCAAGTCAACGGCTCAGACCACGACCGCCTCTCACAGCCCCGCGACAGTTCCCGAGGTCGCAGGCAATCCAATGTCGGCTCGGAACCGCGCAACAGAGTCATCATCTCCGGACGATCTGTCTCACACCCAGAGTACGAAGCCACATCAGCTGAAGCCAGTATTCCCGCGGAGCCCATTAACAGCCGTGCGAACACGCTTGCCATCTCCGAAGGCGAAGGCGTCCTCGGCCGCGAAGCCACGTGGGATGACTTCCCCAACGGTCGTTGGGGTGACGCCCGCTCGCCCGCTTACGGTGAGATTGACGGCTACGGGCCTAGCCTACACGTCTCGAATGCGCAAGCCGTCGGCCTCTGGGGCAAACCGACAAAGCTCTCCGACATCAATGACCTCTTTGTACGTCACCTTTCCGGCGAACTCTCTGCCATCCCTTGGAGCGAGGAGGAGTTCAACGAGGAAACCGGTACCATCACCGCGAACCTCATCAAGCTGAATCAACGCGGCTGGTGGACAGTCGCCTCCCAGCCTGCCGTTAATGGTCTCCGATCCTCTGATCCCGTGTTTGGCTGGGGTCCCCAGCACGGTTTCGTATTCCAGAAGGCGTTTGTCGAGTTCTTCGTACCGTCCGCGCAGTGGAAGGTCCTACTGGAAAAGCTCCGAAGCCCGGAAGTCACAGGACAAGTGACTTTTTACGCGGCCAATGCCGCGGGTGACTTCGTCTCTTCCGACCTAACAGGTGGTGCCGTGGCAGCCGGCGAGGTCCAGGAGTCCAGCACCAATGCCGTGACGTGGGGTGTATTCCCCGGAAAAGAAATCATCACGCCGACTATTATAGAAGAAGTCAGTTTCCGGGCATGGAGCGAGGAGGCCTACGGTATTTTTGCAGAATGGGCGCAGGTCTACGGAAAGGGCTCGGAGAGCGAGAAATTATTGGATAATGCTAGGGCCGACTCGTGGCTCGTCAACATCATACACCACGACTACGTCGACAAGGACGCATTATGGAAGTTGTTACTGGACTAGAAAAGATTAGTAAGAAAAAAGAAAGAAAATCAAATAAGGGGGGAAATCAAGGGTAGCATTTTTCGCACGAAATTGACTATCTACTAGAGTATCCGGTAGCCAGAGTTGCTGACAAACTATCTAATCCATCTGCAACCCTTATGAAGAAAGTCCTCAAATATCGTCGCGAAATCCGGAAAATTGGAGCAAGGTGATAAGAAAAAAACAGGGGAATTGTCGTCAGGTTTGGATGTAAGATCCAGTTGCCAGTGTACCTGAGCCGAACAGTGAAGCCAGAGATAAATAACCCTTAGGGCTGTGCGAAATTTGCCCCATTGGTGTTTGCAAAAGCAATTAGGTGACGATGTTACGGTTTCACGTAGCCCATCCGAACGCCTTCCTGCTCCACCGCCACCCTTTAAGCTAGGTGGTCATCAACCCGCGTCATTCCGGGTCCGTAAATCACATTTTCGTTGTCTTTCTTGTCTCGTGAAATTGTCCTTTTATCACCACACCTTTTCCTTTTTTTCGGTAACGAGAGAGTGTAAGGAAAAAGGGAATTGATGGATCTTTGGTGGCGTGGTACGATTACGGCTAAGGGCCCTCCCCTTCCGCCGATGTGAGACATTTTAATAGCGATAGCCACCCCGCATGATGGCGTCGAGTAATATTAGGAAACAAAGCAAAGCAGAAGCCACAACGCCGAGTAGAGTAAGTCCTTGCGCGTCCTCGTATCTCCGTGGAGTGAGTAGCTCGAACAGGAGCGTACTTCAAACCTCGCCGTCGTCGAGCTCGTCGAGATAACCCAGGTCGCTCAGAGCGTTCGACGAGGTAGCGTCGTCGTTAAATCCGGACCCATCGACGAAATCCGGGTCGAGATCCTGGGCCTCCTCCTTGATGCGACAGGAGCGCTGGGGATTCTTGCGGTCGGCTTTGTCGTTCTGAGCCTCATCGTCCTCGGAGTCTTCTATAACCTGGACGTCGTTCTTGGCTCCGACACGCTTCACGCCGCTGCCGAACAGGGAGCCGCCGGTCGACTTCTTGCCGTTGCTTGAGGGGAAAAGGTTGCGAACAACGCCGTTGGTGCTCTTGGTGCTCTGAGCATTGCCATTCTTCTTTGCGGCGGGGGTGGTGGCATCCTTGGGAGTGGCAGTCTTAGAAGTACTAGCCTTGCTGGTGCTGGCTTTGGTGGCACTGCCCTTCGCGGCATTGGCCTTGGCTACGATGGTGCTGCGACGTTTTGGGGCCGGAGACTTGGACTCTTCATCCGAGTGAACGTCCTTCATGTCGTAGTTGGACTCCGACTCGTCATCCATGTCGTCGTCAGACATCTTGGCCTTGCCGGCACGCTTGCGCTTCGAGCCGGGGGTGTCACCTCCGCGAGTCTTCTTGGCCGTAGCTGGGGTCGAGGCGGTTGGTCCCGCCTTGGCTCTGGGGCCGACCTTCAGGTCAGCGGGGTTCTCACCCTGGTCGACGGCCGCCTGCTGTGCTCTGCCTAGCGCCTTGATCTCGCGGAACTGCCATTCGATTCCGGCGGCCGTTGACTCGCCGTACAGCTTCTGTATCTCTGCGAGGACATGTTAGTCGTCTTGTTTCTCTTGTGATGACTGCTTAATACGTAGTGGCGAGATCTTATAAGGGCAATAGCATGAGTAGGATAGATGGTGGTCGGCGGCGAATGGGCTTTTGGGCGTCTACCTAGGGTATCGACAGGCAACTCGCCCGGATCCTTCTTCGCTTCCTTGAAGGCAACTTGCATCTTGGCTAGTTGCTTGACGGGACGCAAGCGATGGTCTACGGCGGATGCGGTTGCACCTCCGCCCATATGGGCTGCGAGGTCTGGTACAACATCAGCCCAAGAAAACTACAAGAAATAGTAGTGGAAGGGGATGTTTGTGATTATAAGCCTGGACAGGATGGTGTAGGATGAATAGGATACTGAGATAATTGAAGGCAGCATGAAGATATCGGCCCCAGTTTGCTCCCAGGATACGAAGCTCATTCAAAGTTCATATTGTCGCCCACAATTATGTGTCTCGGCCAGCTAGTAGATGGGACGTGGCGACGACTGACAATGCTTCCTACACGACGTGCAGTAGGTAAACCGACACAAGAAGTATAAAATGATACATAAAAACAAAGAAGCGAGTCCGTTCATGGTAGGCGGAATAGACGAGAAAGTGACGGGAGGATATGCCATATTCTCGAATGAATTGTCATAAAGAAAATCGAATATACGTACCAGCATAGTTGAGCTTCGGCTTAGCTGTAGCAAGCACAGCTGCGAGCAGACGTACACTAGACTCGTAAGTGCGGAAGTTTGTTTTGTTCTGAGGAACAGGCATCGTGACTAATATGCTGGCAGTCACTGTCTAGAAATACTGAAGGTGGCCTTGTTGATGTTAGCACAACGTGGGACAGAGATGGCTAGAGGAAAGACGAAGGCGTGGATCGTGTGAAGTTGGGTGGTAAGTAGAAAGGTTCGTTCAAGGTAGAGATTGCTTAGGGAAATATCTTAAATATTGTCAAGTTGCATAGGGAATCAAGTTCTAAATGTGTGGGTGGTAGTCTGAGAGATAATGATAGAGGGAGTCATGGAAGTGGTGAGATTATTTCGAGGGATAGTGACGAGAATAAGGTCCATATGTAGGTCGAGGGGAAGGTACATCTGAAGGGAAAGGTACAGAAACAGTATAGCAAAACAGCAGGAGCTGATGGTGATGATGGATCTACATCGAAAACTGAGGTAGCTTGCCGTGCAGGTAGTTGAATTCTAGATAGATATTGAGCTCGTCAAGACGAACTACCACAAGGTCTGATAAGTTAGTGTTGGACGTCACTCTGATGGTGGATGAGAGTCAAGGGAAATTGACTCGGCTTGGGTAGAAAGAAGATTCACGGCTGTAGACCAGAAGAAGTAGGAGGAGTGTAAGAAGAAGGAAGAAATATGAGAATGGTTAGTAGATGGTGGGTGAGGAGTGTTTATACAGATGGATGGTGCGCAAAGTTGACGAGGAATAAGATAGAGAGTAGAAAGCGGGGATCGTTTCCTACCTGTCTTGTGCTTGCCTCAAGACTCGCGCTAGATGCGCGTTCACTTTCCAATACTAGGTATTCCCACAGGAGGAAGTTGTGTTGCAGTTGCTTCAATGTTAGCAACGAGCTCCAGAGACGAGAGTCCAGACCCAGTAGTGCAAAAGTGCAAAACCAGGGTTAGGCAACTGCAAGCGGATGTCTGCTGCTTGACAATGCTGCTGGGCAACAAGATCGTTGAAACCCCTTGTAGTTGATGCCCTTACTAAGTGCCTATTACGGCGACAGTCCTTGGGGCACCTAGTTGTTCTGGTGTTTTATGACTCGATCTTGAGGTTTTGTTCAGCCAAGTAGGTCTCCGTCCTTATTCCTTATGGTTGGACTCAATTTCTGCACAAAAGTTAGTCTCATCAATGTCTAATGTTTGGTATTAAGAATAGGATATATGATCCCCAATTTAATGACTATTTGGACAATTCTCAAAGAAAGTTAACCTACGATGCGAACGTATCTCAGTTTAGTCGCCCCAGTGAAATAGGGGGTTGCTCTAGAGCTTGAGATCTCGTCTTAGATTCTGGTGGAATCTTGAAATGATACTTATACTCGATAATACGGCATAAAAAAGATCCAACCATCAAATGATGATTAGAATAAAGGAATAAAATTATGGTTAATTGACTGTGTTGTCTTCGAGTTCTCAACCTTGACTAGCCAATGGGAGTAGATAGACTAACGACAGTCTTAAAGTCGTAACGTCTTGAATTTAAAAGTAACTTTCAATTCAACTCAACTCAATGATAAATATATTCATTCATATGCGAGGAAAGACTTAAAGTATTCAATGTTCAATGACGAGAGAAAACGATCAAATCATTATTATTAAGTTAAGAAGAGGGTAGAAAGTAGCTGGGCCAATGTTGAATGTTCCCTCCAATGTCAAGCAAGCGAGCGTGTGTCTTAGATAGGCCGTAACTATGGTCTCAGAATTCCATATGCCCCTCTATCACATTACCCCTCTATTTCTTACAAAATCGATATCTAGGCGATGAAGCATGTTGTTATTATCTGGTACAAATTCTCCAGATTCTAAAAAATGCATTTGGTGGCTTATTGTACATAGAGGGATTAGAGGCCGTAAGTACTTGTTAACATTAAATCACAAAATCCGCACGGCTCACCGAGGGTCATGTCACCCCAGCCACCCGCATATTTTAACAAGGGTTCTTTGGGGGGGTTCTTTCCAAGCCAGGCATCCAGGTAGGGCAACAACCTTCAACATCATCTTCTTTTGCTTTTTCTATGGCTTATTATATCATAATCGATTGATATAATCGATACCGATAAGCCCCGAACCGTGGGATTGGTCCGTCATAATTGTGACCAAATTATTATCATTTGCAGAACTAACGGTTTTGCTGTGACCAAAAGACCTACATGGCGCTTTGACATGATGACGAAGGTCTCGAAATTCTAGGCTTCATTTTCAATCATACTACTTTCTTCATTATATCATTATTTGTCTATATGAGAGCTAACCTCTAATACGTTAGATTAGAGCAGATTGAGTAAGTCGTGAGGTTCCAAGTTGTTCATCTAAATCGTCTTCTCGCCTAACGGAGTCCCTCTTCCGGTTGGCGTTTGTCGCCCGCTATTGAATGAGCCGGTCAAATGCGGCTTACCGCTTGGATATGGCCACCCCTGTTGCGCCTTCATAGTTGGTTGCTGGTCACCGTACATCAAATACTGGACACCGATGAGAAAGTCGCAACCGGCTTGGAAGATGCCACAGAGTTTGAAGGACCATGGAATAGCGGAAGTGGACGTGAAGAACCAAAACATCTTCATAGCGTCTCCGACCAGCCAACTTGCCAACACAGAGAAACGAAACCCTTTGCAAGATTTAGAACGCGAGTTGGCAACCAGCTGCGGGATGGGCAATGTTGCTTCCACAGACAGACCGATATAACCTATTAAGGCGGAATACCCGGAATAGAATGATTGGAACGGCGCAATTAATAACTCGAGTATAGTTAAACTAATAAATAGGGACAATAAAAATTGCCAATAACTAACGCTTAGAATTAGTCGGGGGTACCGCTAGGCAGAGCCAAGAGTTATTAAAAGAGAAAAGAAAAACTCACGGCTTTGGCGAGCGCCACTGCCAGAAATTATATGGTCGTTGAAACCCTCCGAACCCATCCTGGGCGCCTGCAAAAGGAAGCGCAGCATCACCCCCCTTCGATGATGGTGGCGGTCGGTGGTCGAGAGCAATTTTCAGAAGGATGAGTTGTATAAAAATGTTGCAAAACGACTGGATTAATAGGGCCTGATCAAATTTCGCGCCTGGGTAGTAAAATATCCTATAAGCAGCCACTATTAGTATGCTAAATTTCCGAGCCCAATATATGTCCATTTGGATTGGGATTGAGATGGGCTGGCAGACCTGAATATCGATGCGACAAGCATGATAAGAGGGATATCCAGAGAGAACCCAGCACTTGATCTTGCCCTATGCATGGCAACCGCTTGATCTGTGTAGGACAATATCGGAGACAGAATCAAGAATATAGGGGCCGCATAGCTGGCCAAGGTCGCGAGGAAGGTCATCTTGACGGTAAGTCGAGTATGGGATCGCCGCAGAGCAAGGGAAGGTCGAGTATTCGGCGTAAATCAATTGTCCCAATTCTACACAAAAACCACCGCGTTAAGAACGTTAACAAGGCATGGAATACATCGCTTGATTAATTAAGGTAACTGGATATTCGGAGAAAGAACTTGTAAATTTTCCATCTGAAAACGCAAATTATGTCTAAGATGAAGAACCGCGACTTGTGGAACTTGAATCAATTCAATCACTCTGACACTTGGTCAAAAAGGGGCTAGCCTAATAAGTATCCATATTTTTACCAAATATTGACGTAGGGCACTTGACCGTCTCAAGTCTTATCGAGACGGCTAAATTCTCACCCGACAACATTTAATGCAAGTACCTAGGTACATGTCTCGAACTTATCGCTTAATCACACCTTGATTCGACCAAAAGCAGGAAGAGCTAGGACCAGACGAAGTTGTTGATTGGTTGGATTAGTTAATGTAAATGCAGGGTCCCGTCGGATCTCTTTCGACCCCTCCATTGAAAAAGTTAATTGATCATTAACCCCACATCGTTATGAACATTTTCTTTTACAACGCGTGCTTCGATAGGACTTTCAAGTGACACATTCGCGTTTATCTAGGACTCATAACCTCAAGTGTCGCCGGGCCGTCTCGGTCGCCATTCGACAAGATGGAATATATCACTCTAACCGGAGAATCTTGCTTCACTTCTTCTGAAGCTCAGAAAGTGAAGGATCGTATCAACCAAACGGCGTCGACGAAAGTGACTAACATCTTAGGTTCCTGGATATATTACGCGCATATCAGAGGAAACAAGGAGTCTCTTCAACCCAAACTCCAGCAATTACTTCCACTGCCTGATAGTTCCAGTCCTCCACCTCTAACTCACATTGGGTATACTCGTACATATTATATTGTACCTAGGAATATCTCACCATGGAGCTCTAAAGCAACCAAGGTCTGTGAAGTTTGCGGTCTTAAAGATGAGATCCATCGTGTGGAACGAGCAAGATCCATCACACTGGAATTCGAACATCCTTTCAGCAGCGATGAAATCCCATTCAGGGACCTGCTATATGACCGGATGACCGAGATCATATCTCCAAACCAACCAGATCTTGAGTCTATGTTTATAGAGCGAGAGCCCTTACCCCTAGAGGTCGTCAACATATTCTCTGCAGACCAGACGCCAATTGATATGCTCAAAGCATACAACAGCAAGCATGGTCTAGCTCTAGATGAGTCCGAGATGGAATACCTAGCCCAAGAATTCATGCAGCTTGGACGACCGCCAAATGACATCGAGCTCTTTATGTTTGCTCAAGTCAATTCAGAACATTGTCGTCATAAGTAAGTTATGATATTTATGTGTGCCTGTATCATCTATCTTGTAGAGGATACTAATAAAAACCACAAGGCAATTCAACGCAAGCTGGACTATTGATGGCTTAACCAAGGACTTGAGTCTATTCGACATGATTCGAAATACTCACAAAAAAACACCCGATTATACTGTCTCGGCCTACAGCGACAATGCTGCAGTAATGCAGGGTGAAATAGGAAATTATTGGGCTCCTGATTATACAACTGGATCCTGGAGACTCAACAGAGAAGTCGTGCACATACTGGCTAAAGTTGAGACTCACAACCACCCTACTGCTATTTCTCGTAAGTAAACAACCAAAGCATCGTAATTATTTGTAGTGGACGTAGTAATGCTAACTTCAGATCGCTTACAGCTTTCCCAGGAGCTGCCACGGGATCTGGTGGCGAGATCCGTGAGTTAGCTCTTAATTTTGTCTAATTACTATTACTCGTGTCATTAACTACACCTGAGCTTGTATCACTGTTGTCCATATGAGTTATTGCTAACTTCCAACCTTTCAGGCGACGAGGCCGCCGTTGGAAGAGGATCTGCTACTAAGGCTGGTCTTTCCGGATTCTGGGTATCCGATCTTCTTATTCCAGGCCACCAAGCCTGGGAAACTGATATTGGCCGCCCAGCTCACTACGCTAGCAGTCTTGATATCATGCTAGAAGCACCCATTGGCTCTGCTCGCTTCAATAACGAATTTGGCCGCCCTGCACTTACCGGGTGTTTCCGTACGATGTTGACAAACGGTACGAATAAAAGCGACGAGAACTCTGAAAAGGCGACAGAATGGCGAGGCTACCACAAACCGATTATGATTGCAGGTGGACTCGGTAGAGTTAGACCAGGACACGCCATCAAAAACCCAACCGATGTGCATGAAGGTGCTCATGTTATCGTGCTTGGTGGCCCTGCGATGCTAATTGGGCTTGGCGGTGGTGCGGCATCCAGTAATGCTTCTGGAGAAGGGACTGCGGATCTCGATTTCAACAGTGTTCAGCGAGGTAACCCTGAGATGCAGCGTCGAGCCCAAATGGTTATCGACACATGTTGTGGCTTAGGGGACTCGAACCCTATCGTAAGCGCTCCAAATCTCCTAGGTCTACCGAGCTTTATAGCTCTAGCTTTTCAATTTTCTTTATTTGTACCTAGTAAATAACTGCTAATGGTAAATTTCTAGGCTATGATACACGATGTTGGTGCTGGCGGTTTATCGAACGCCCTCCCAGAGCTTGTTAAAGATGCTGGGTTTGGAGGTAAATTCGAACTCCGACAAGTTGAGAGTGCAGATGGTAGTATGAGTCCTCTTCAAATTTGTAAGTGTTCTCGAAATATTTCCATTTGTTTTAATACATTTAGGCGCACTTAACCAGAACATCGCTAACTATCATTGATAATTGATATAGGGTGTAATGAAGCTCAGGAACGTTACGTTCTTTTAGTTAATAGCGAGGGGATGAATCGGTTCGTGAGCATCTGTAGTAAGTTCTAACTATCCTTGTAGCATATCGCCTGGTATCTGAGATTGACCGATAAAATAGGACGTGAACGCTGCGGTTTTTCAGATGTTGGCACTGTCGTATCTGAAAATGAGAGCGGTCCCTCTAAGCTTATTTTGACCGATAGAAATGCGAATGAGAAAACATACTCGCGACCCATCGACCTACCTATGTCGACCCTATTCCCCCCAGGCCGTCGGTTGCAGCGCATAGTGACATCGAGTAAACCAAATCTGCCAAAGTTCGATCCGGTCCCCAGTTTGAAGGCTGCGTTTGGGGATAAATTATCCGATGCTGAACTAGTTAGAAACGCACTGCAGAGAGTTTTCTGGATGCCAGCTGTGGGATCGAAGTCTTTTCTAATTACGATTGGAGATCGAACTGTCGGCGGTCTTACCGCTCGAGACCAAATGGTAGGCCCCTGGCAAACTCCTGTAGCCGATGTTGCTGTGACAGCCACGTCGTTCAATATGGGAGCGAAGACGAGGCATGGTGAAGCAATGGCTATGGGTGAGAAGCCTACCCTTGCACTAATATCTCCCGCCGCGTCTGCTCGCATGGCAGTTGCCGAGAGTTTAATGAATATAGCTGCTGCGGATATTATGGGCGATTTACGACGAGTCAAGCTATCCGCGAACTGGATGGCAGCTGTAAATCATCCCGGAGAAGGCGCTGCTCTTTACGAAGCGGTCGAAGCCATTGGGCTTGATATGTGTCCACGGTATGTACCGACTCGTATTATTCCTTTTTTCCATTTCTCTGTAGCGCTTGCAATATCCTCCTCGACATATTCGGCTGTTTTCACTAGAACGAAATTCCGCTCTAAAATAATCATGCGAGATACTAACTAGCCGATAGACTGGGAATTAGCATACCTGTTGGCAAAGATTCTACGTCAATGAAAGCAACTTGGAAAGATCGTGAGTCTGAAGAGGCCAAGAGCGTAACAGCGCCCGTATCAGTGGTTATCTCGGCATTTACAATAGTCGACGACATTCGAAAAACATGGACCCCACAGCTTCGACGTGTGGAGGAAGTCGGAGAGACTGTTCTTATGTTTGTTGACCTAGCAAAAGGCAAGAAAGCCATGGGCGGGTCGGCCCTTGCTCAGTCATTCGGCTACGTTGGTGACGAGGCACCCGACGTACGAGACATTGACTTAATCACTGATTACTTTGATGCGCTGGCTCAACTACACCAGAGTGGCATTGTTCTCGCGTATCACGACAGGTCTGATGGTGGGTTGATTACAACAGTAGCGGAGATGATGTTCGCTGGACGATGCGGCGTTGACTTGATGATGGATGGAATTGCCAAATCCTACTTGGTTGAAGACATGGTTGATGCTTTGTTCAACGAGGAATTAGGAGCCGTGTTCCAGGTGCGAGCCTCTGATGAGATCAATTTCAAGAGATGCTTCGCAACCTGTGGGCCACCACCAGGCATGATCAGAAAATTTGGCAGTGTCCAGCCAAAATCAAAGCAGGCGTTGACGATTCGCTACGGAGCAGCGCCTCTCGTTAGCCTCGATAGGAAGGAGATTCAACAGTGGTGGACAAAGACCTCATTCGAGATGCAGAAGCTGAGAGATAATCCCTCTTGTGCCGAGTCCGAATATTCGACCATCATCGATCAAACCGACCCCGGTCTCTCCTACAAGCTCACCTTTGACCCATCCGATAATATTTTGCCATTGACTGCCTCTATTACTGGGTTCTTTGGCAAGAGCCCTCGAGTGGCTATTTTGCGAGAGCAAGGTGTCAATGGGTATGCCGAAATGGCATTCGCATTCAAAGCAGCAGGTTTTGACCCTATCGATGTAATGATGACGGACATCATTTCGGGTCGCTCGCTTGTAGATTTCGTGGGCCTGGCTGCCTGTGGTGGCTTTTCCTACGGTGATGTGCTTGGGGCCGGACAAGGCTGGGCTAAGTCCATTCTTATGCACGAGAATGCTCGCAAGGAATTTGAAGATTTCTTTAAGAGACCAGATACATTTGCTCTTGGGGCTTGTAATGGTTGCCAGATGTTATCACGACTTAAGGAGCTTATACCTGGAACAGAACATTGGCCAGTGTTCGTGGAGAATACAAGCCAGCAGTTTGAGGGACGTTTGGGTATGGTCAAGATCGAGGACAATCCATCAAACCCTTCAGTTTTCCTCCATGGTATGGACGGCTCGGCATTGCCAATTGTCGTTTCTCACGGCGAAGGAAGGGCATCTTTCTCTTCACAAAACTCTCTACGGGCTCTTAACGAAGCTGGATCTATTCCAATTCGGTACGTCGATAACTACTTGAACGTGACGGAGAAGTATCCGTTCAACCCCAATGGCAGTCCTGGCGGCATTGCCGGTGTCAGCAGCAAAGATGGTCGCGTCCTGGCCCTAATGCCTCACCCTGAGCGATCAGTGATGGCAGATTCCATATCCTACGCACCACCTGCTCTTCTTGAAGAGTGGGGAGAATTTGGTCCCTGGATTAGGATGTTCAGAAGCGCGAGAAAATGGGTCGGATAAATTGCTCCTACTAAAGAAAGGAGTCTACGCAGCAATCATTTAGGCTTAGAACATACGATCACACGATATACTTCTACATGCACCTCGTCGTTAAAACAAGGCTTGGTATTCAATCGACGAGATTGAAAATGCAGTATATACTTTACTCTAACGAGACCTAAGCTAGGTATCCAAGTAGATACTGCAAATGTTCTAGGAGTTGACTAAAGGCGGTTCTGTATTAGGAGTTACAGACTTAAACGAAAGAGGTCGCCGAAGGCACAAACAAAGGCCATCTATATAGCAATGTATTAAGCAAGGAAATGAACATGATCGATTAGCAAACAAGTCATTCATGGCGCTTACATGGCTACCACGTAATGTGGATCGTGATACTATGCTGATGCTGATTCCGATGCTGATGACTCTATAATATAGGTATTGCTTCAACAGGATAGTGAGTATTAATGGCAATATGCAGGAAGCGTCAATTTAGCAAGCTAGGCAATTCGCTGCCGGCAGCCGTAGACTATCTAGGTAGGTAGAAAAGCCAGGAAATATCACGAGTACCGGAGCCGACGTGGCCATGGTGACGATTCGCATTGCAAATCCCGGAGCAATTTAATCCTTCAATCCAGAACGAGCCTCTTCCCCGTTATAGAAGCCCACGCGCGCCCAGATTCCAAAATAATAATAATAATAATACCTACCTAATAATCCATCGCGATCCCTCTCTATATACCCTTACCTAATAATGCCCTCTTCCCGTATTATTAGCACGTTTAATATATTACTCCGGAAGCTCGCTAAACAAGAATAGCCCTGGGGGCAGCTAGGTAGGTAGGTAGGAATCTGCTAATACTGGAAGCCCGGTCCTGTCGCTTGCATTGGATGTGTACGTATGTACGTATGTAGGCAGGTAATAATATTATTTCCTCGTTTCCCCGTTTCCTCTTTTATCGCGTAGGGAAACGAACGCACGAACGAACGAACGGGCTCACAAACCGAACGATTTTTTTTTCTCTTTGGTCGCCGGACCAAGAATTCAATAGCCCGTTCGCGACCTTGGAATCCGGCCGTCGGTTGTATAGGGATCCATGTTCACCTATTGTAGGTATGTATGTAGCTACGTCGGATAGCGTGCTTCGCACATAGCGCACCTACATAGATAGGTACATACATAATAGTGTCGCGACGTTGGCGGGCTGCCTAGAGCGGGCGGCTCTTGCGAGCGGCATTGAACGTCGGGACCGGTCGCGAGATAACTAACTAGCTACATACATGCCTAGCTAGCTAGCTAGACGTCGTAATCGCGAAGGGGGACAATGGGGAGGAGGAGAAAAAAAAAGGGGGTTTACGTTGCTATGAGAGGGAAAAAAAACCTTGGTTTTCTAAGCGTGGCCTTGGAGTGCCTTGGATACGGCCTGTTTTGTGCCCGTATTACCGCTGTACATATTAATCGTTGGCCGTAGCTAGACTAGCCCGAGCGCAAGGCGGGGACGGGGGACCTCGCCATTGTACAATACGATACGATATGTAGGTATGCTGTAGGATGGCGTGTATGTACGCTTAGATCCAGGTGGTGTCAGGTGAAGGTTCTTTAAGGTTCAGGTAGAGCAACGAAAGGCACGCTGTAATACAATACCAGTATGGAAAGGCAATAGTAGTAGAGGAACCTGGCTGTACAATACTGTATTTCAAGTGCCGGGGTTTCCGGGCTCCATGCAAGCCACGAGGGCGAGAGACGGGAAACCCTTACAAGCGGAACGCCCAGTGGAATCCTTCCCCTTCGTCAATTCCTCCTCGCCTACATACAGTACCCTTCTCGAATCCTGCTGAGCTGAAGAAGAGGCGCCTCATCACGATCCAAAAGCCGGTGATTACTTTCTTTCTTTTTCGTTGGCAGCTAACGGTTTGGGCTTGGCTTAGCTCGCGCGGTTGGTGGTTGCGCATGCGTCTTCGCGTAGCTATTATGCAAAATAATGTGTATGTGACTAGGTAGGTAGTAGGTAGGTAACTAATAACTAACCGCCCAGTGGTCGAGTTTGAAAAGAGGAGGCTGAGAGTTGTGGTATGTACTCTGTATTGTACCTAGTAATGTACGCTGGATGTACCTAGACCCTCTCGTTCCCAGTACTCTGTCTACGCTAATATAAATCCGGTCTGCATTAGCATTAGCATTACAGCGTACCTAGGTCACCTAGGCCACCTAGGCGTGGCTCTAAGCAAGTACGGTGGTAAGGGTATACGTAAGACGTGGAGGTGTGTGTACGGGGTAGGGTACATAGCTAGATACATACCTCCAGGGCTTGTGGTTGTAGGCAGTTGTAGGTGTAGTTCAGGTAGACCTGTAAGACCTGTAAGCACCCTCTGTACCCTGTAGACGAAGCGAACGGAGCTTCTCACTCGGCAATGCTACGATGGACTTTTGTCACCCTGGTTTGCGGCACATAACCCAAGCCAAGACATTGCTTTGACCTGCAGCCGGGTATCTCGTCTCGTTTCTCCGAATGGCACAACCACACACCTCTGCGATTCGGTTCAGATTTCAATTTTTCGGCACCAGTGTCATTTCTGGCAATGGGGTTCTTCGCGAAGCCTTCTAAGACATTTCCGCATGCACTCTCGTACGGGACTCGTACGCATATATGCGTCCATATGCGTATGTACCTTATTTTATGTACGCACATACCTTACGCTGTACATAAACTCCCTAGACTCCTCCCCCTAGATGCGCACGTACCAGGTACAGGTAGATATAAATAATATTAGGCGGGGGTTAAAGAGCGGCCCAGCCCAGACCTAGACCTCTTTACTCCAGGTACCTACCGAACCTGGTATGGATTTCGCCGTCTTCTTTTAGTTTCGCTTAGATCTCATCCAGATCGCTTATGGCCCTGTGGCTTACGCCGCAACGTGGTGAGGTTCGATTTATTGAATTTTAGGCTTGAATGGTGCTTTCGGTGTAAGATGAGGTCCGGCAGTAGAGAATCGCGAACTGCGAATTGCGGGTTGCGGATCAAAAAATGTCCCACGACGTGACGTGCCAGACCGAGTGCCGACTGAAGCTCGCCGTCTGACTGGGGCTGTCAATTCGACCTTCCTAGCAGGTATAGTTCTTCTGTTGATCAATGCTAGGTACTGCTCAATGACGCCACAGTTGCAACAGCAAGGTAAGGCGACAGCGTCGGTCTCATCAAATGTAAAGAAGCTGAAAAGCGCATACGAAGACTGACGAATGATGTCTCAGGCGATCCTACTGTGGCTTGCCTATGGGAGGTAGAACCGTTGTTAAGATCGTCGCACGTGCTGATCGTCCCAACCCAGGTCTTATTAGCGGTTTATTATGCCGGACCCTCGTTGTCTCGAGTAATCACTCTTTGTTGCATGATCGAGTCCCCCCCAAACCCGGCAGTCTCTCCTGCTCCGAAAGCATGGATTAATCAGTCTTAATCATACTGTACGAATACGATGCCACATATTATCATTCGACGCATTCTGCCTTGGTGACTAAGAATTCCTCTCTCTTTCTGCAGGGACGTTTTTTGTTTCGATGCGAGGTTCTTTAAAAAATTGAAAAATCGTGGGGCGCCCCTTGAACACCCCAAGGTCTCGCCCGCTTGTTCTGGACTCCGCTGCAAGATGAAATTGCATCGGTATTGCTCCTGCAGCATCAACTATCCTAGGGGATGTCTCACGATGCGTACCCCTCACACCCAATGTTAAGGAGCGGCTTCGTCATCTCCGTAATTCGCTTCTGATGAGCGCTAGGGGTCTACTTCGCCTCTAGGATGTGCGATGGTATATCGGGACGAATATCGCGCAAGTCGGCAGTGGAGTACCGAGTCTAACATAGCGCAAAACACTGGTTCGGACGAAAGACCATAAAGATGACTGTTGTCCCGCCTTATCTTGAGCTCTATGACCGAGTCACCTCCACTGTGGCTTATGCGCATGCAGATTAGGATAACAGCCTATTTGCCGTTGGATATTGCCGGTACTGAACAACAATGAACCGAATATGAAGGGGGGAGCTGCAGAAAAACCGGCCTCAGGTTGTTCTCGGGACCAGGAGAGGTCCCTTATGCGCGGCAGAGGTGTTGGATAGTAACCTTATATTACATGCTTTTAAGGTGGCCGGCATTACTCAAAGTAGACGCAACCCCCCCTAAATTAAGGGCACAGCTATTGTATTGTATGTATGTGTGTATACATACATAGAATCTGGCATGGGGGGTTTTGTTCTCGTCTCTTTATCTCTCGATTCTAAATTTGAGTTTATTAACTCCCAAAGGGTTCTATCGAAATCGACGAGGCCTAGACTGACCTACTCGGCCGGGTCTCGAGTAAACCCAAGATTGGGGCAGTCGTTCATAAGCTTGCGTATGCGCAACATCCTAGGTTAGCCTGACAGATCAAAAGGGGGCCGGGCCGAAGATCAGACAATGGACCTCTTTGCGCCGCACTATTGCACCGTCATCCTCTTAATCCTGCTAGCCCTTACACTAAGATAGAGAAAAGCGGTGTTTGACTCCCACATGGTGTGCTTAAATCTCGCCTGTTGGATCGGTTTTTGATCACAACACATGATCCTATGCGGCTGCGCGACACGCGAGATCTCGTGAGGCTGGTCGTGTGAGTACTTAGGCAGATATCATGCTGACGGGGCGGATCTGGATGTGGTAAGAAACCAAAAAAAAACAACCAAAAAAACAAGATCTCGGAGCCCAACGCGATATTACTCTGACTCCTCCTCTGATGGTTTATTAAACCCTTAGTCAATCGGTAGGTGATATTATAGATACAGCATGTCCTATATCCTATAGTAGGATGGTGCTGTATCTACCCGGTTGGATCGTGAGGGAGACACGATGCCGTTTCCCATTCATCATAATACCCGTCTTATTATGTTACATGCTTCCATAGCTAAAAATAGACCCGGCGACCGCTTAACCCCGCGGCCGCCCGCCTTTCTGGTTGTTCATTAATTATTGTGATTCATATTTGCTGAGCCTGTCTTATATGCAAGGCGGGATATGGGCTGTTGCAATATCGCAGAATCCCTCGTTTTTTGGATGAATGTAAGATGTGACCAATACGATACGGCGTAGAACGCCACAGAACGTGGTCCGGCATGAAGGATTTCCTTGGGAATGTATTAATATGGCACAGAGCATAGGTATTCGTAGATTGGCAGATTGGGTAGCTGATTAGTTAACGCCAGGTGGTGTCCCGTGTGGGTGCCGTCATTCATTAATCGAACGGATCGAATGGTACATGGTTAATCTTGTCAGCGGCAAGATACATACACGTACAGACGACTGCCGAGGCAGATCAGTCTCCAGC